GGACTTGAGGCAGGGTGACCATAGGACGCGAGGATAGAGATGCCCAAGGATTAGACCAGGCTGCCACCCTGTGAAGAGAGCAGGATGGATAGGAAAGATACGGGGCAGAGACGAAGAGATGGCGATCAGCGATTTGGCGATGGATTGGCTGTGGGTAGAGTAAGGGAGACAGAGGGAAGGGGGATGACACTGAGGCTGCAAACGTGGGCGGCTGGAAGGGACCAAAGTTGGGAGTGGGAAGGGTTTTGGGGGGAAAGATAATGACCTCAGTTTTAGATGGGGACTTGGAGATGCCGCTATAACGTCGAACTGGAAAATGTCCCAGCTGCTCCCGGCCAGTCACCACAGCCTCCTGGTGCTCTCCACTCACTCCAATGCTCTTCCTAAAGTACAGGCCTGACCATGTCACTCTCCTACCCAGTAAACCCAGGAGCTCCCGATTAACCCAAGTTCAATATGAAATCCTCTTTTTGACTTTTAAGGCCCTTTGTCATTTGACCCACTCCTCCCTTTCTGGTCTTCTTTGCCTTCTCCTCCACACACTCTGTGTCCAGTGATACTGGCCTCCTCACTGCTCCTCAAGCAAGACTCTCCATCTCACAGCTCTGGGCATTTTCCCTGGCTGTGCCCGATGTCTGCAACATCTTCCCTTCTGGCTTTCCCGACCTCCTTCAATTCCCTTCTGCAAGAAGCCATTCTTGGACCTGCTTAATCTCCATGCCTTCCCTCTGAGACCACCCCCAGTTTATCCTGGCTAGATCTTACTTGTCCACATTTGCATATTGTCTCATGCATTAGACTGTGAGCTCTTTTGCTTTGCGTATAGTAGGAGCTTAATAAATGCTCATTGACGTAAGTTGGGAGGTGAGGTCAGACTTGAAGGCCATTTGCACAGACATAATTACGCCTTTGGCAACTGATGAAGTCACCAAGAAAGTGTGGAGAGAGAAGTGGTTCTTCGTGGTACGGAGATGACTCAGGGTTTTCAGATGCCAAGGGAGCTCAAGTCTGGCAAGGGCTGCCGGGCGAGAAGGGCTTCCCCAAATGCACATGGTAGTTTATATATCTGAGCTGCATTTCTGTGTTTGGCCTTTAAGACATGGATGGTGGAAACTCAGGAGAGCACGAGGGTGGACAGAGGAACAGAATGTACCTGGGCTTCCCGGCACGCCCCCATATACTGCCAGCTCCTGCCCTATGAGGCACAGAGAGGTTTCCAGTAAATAATGAAACAGCTGTCTCCAAAAGCCCAAAGGAGTTGGTTGCTCTTTGGAGGGAGGCCCCAGGCTTAGGAAATCACAGCTCTTTTGATGAGGTTTGACAGCATAGGGTCAGGGTCTGGAGTAGGGAGGGGCACGAGTGCCAGAGAGCCACGGTTCCCAAACTATGTGTGCCGCATGCAGCAAACTCCCAGGGACACCAGAGACAGTTCACATTTTGGACCTATTTATTAAATAGAACTGTTAGTTATTTCTTTTGGTCCATGGAAACCATTAAAAGATTTGTTGTTGTTCAGTCGTGTCTGACTCTTCCTGACCCTGTCGCCCATATCATGCCAATACCATCTCTGAGATTTTCTTGGCAGAGATACTGGAGCAATTTACCACTTATTTCTTCAGTGGATGAAGGCAAACAGGGTGAAGTGACTTGCCCAGGGGCACCCAGCAAGTGTCTGAGGCTGGATTTGAACTCAGGTCTTCTTGCCTCCAGGCCTGGCCCTCTAGCTGCTGCCATCACCCTAGAAAGTTTGGGAACCTCTGCCAGAGTAGCGCCTTGGCATAGCTTCCATCTGTGGACCAGTCCTGGGACACCCACCAGTTACACAGGGGCCAGAGGCAGCAGCAATGGGCTTGGGAACGGGACCAGGTGCTCTGCCCCTTTGCAGACGTCCTGCCTCAACTTCCTTCCCAGGCCCCAAGGGAGGCCTAGGAAAGCTGGGGCTGAGGTAGACCCTTCTTGTGAGAAATTAGCTCGCTTTGCCTTCCATAAGGTCACAGGCCCTAAGGGGCAGTCCTGAGGAGAACTTGTTCACCAAGGGATTTCCTTCCGAGGTGTAGTAGGGAGGAGCCGGGTGGGAACAGACTGGGCCAGGGTCGAACTCCCTGGGATGGGTGGGGAGCTGCCGCCATGTTTTCTGGGCACTTGGTCTCTGTTTAAGGCTCTGTCTTGTGTGGTGGGTCTTGGGTCTCAGGACCTGAGGTGAGTTGGTAAACTACTTGGTGGGTTCTGTCCCCTCCAGTCGCCTCTTCCGGCAGCCTGAGGCCACAGTCATTTCTCCTGTGCTGTTGTCGTCTCACCCCGTAATGCCACGTGGCAGTGGCAGTGGCTGTGGATCCCAGCTCACGCCTGCTGTCTTTGCGCTTCACAGGGCTAGGCATCGGCACCTCCTTCATCTGCATGGCGTGGGCCTTGCTGGATTATCACCGGGCCCTGCGGAGCTGCCTGCCCACCAAGCCGGCCCTGGGCTACTTCTCTTCCACTGTCTACTTCCTCTGGAACCTGCTGCTGCTGTGTCCGCGCATCGTGGCGCTGGCCCTCTTCACCACTGTCTTCCCCAGGTACATCGCCATCCACTTCCTGCTCCTCTGGGTGGTCCTGCTCCTCTGGGTGTGGCTGCAGAACACAGACTTCATGCCAGGCCCCGCGTCTGAGTGGCTGTACCGCGGCACGGTGGCTGTCATTCTCTACTTCTCCTGGTTCAATGTGTCAGAGGGGAGGACTCAGAGCCGCAGCATCATCTACTTCAGCTTCCTTGCGATGGACAGTGCCCTCCTGGGCGGCACGTGGCTGGCACACAATATCCCGCTGCCCAGCCCCTCGCTGTTGCTGTGGCTGCTGCCTGGGGCTGCGCTCTGCTTCCTGCTGGGCCTGGGGGTGAGGGGCGCCTACTACCAGTGGCTGCACCCCAGCCGCCAAGCGGAAGCCTTGGACGAGGGGGATGGCAGCCGGGGCTTTGCTCTCCAGGACGGGCACCTCAACAGGCGGATGGCTGTCCTCGCCCAGAGCTTCTTCCCTATAGCTGCCCCTGCCAAGAGTGAGGAGGTGAATGGTGTCCTCTGAGCTAGGACCGGGACCAAGCCACGCCAGGTGGCCTTCCTCAGCCTGGCCTCCGAGTCTCAGGTTCACAGGGGCTCTTGCTTCTACCTGGGAGATGGGAGAAGTGTCAGAAACTATGCTATCGGTACTTTGGGACTAGGGAAGTGGGGGAGGATGCGGTGGTGGGCTCTCATCGCTGCTGCCGCCCCCCTCCCTCCCCAACACACACAGGAGCCGGCAGTGCCTTAGTGGCCTGTTACTGGTCATCCCAGCAGGGTTGGGTGGGGACAGGGATGCCGGCCTGCTTGGGCAGTGCTCATGGCTGGCTGGGCCTCACACCTGCTGGAGCCAGGAAGGGCAAACTGCCAGTGCCATTCAAAGTGCCTCATGAGCCTCATATCAGGACCAACACATGCCTCATTCCCTGGAGGCTTTTTTTGTTGTCAAGAAGGAAACACTTTTTCTTTCTATCATTTCTTTGTACCTCCCATCTCGACTGGAGGGAAGAGGTGCTGCTTAAGTTGGGAAGGAGTTTGATTCGTTTTGCACAGTGTTATGTGAAGTTTATTAAAACCTTTGAAACCTGCATGGCCTGTCTTCTTACTGCACCAGTTCAAGACAACTGCGAGCTGCCAACCCTGCCCTTCCAGAGCTCTGGCCTAGGACAGACCCAGGCACATAGAAACACATGCAGAAACACATCCTTTCCCCCTGAAGAAAGGGCCTTGGGAAATGGCACAATCCAACCATAGTGGCTTTTTTTGCGGGGGGAGTAGTGAGGGGCCTAGACTGATTTGTGAGCTGACCATCCCAGGCTATGGCCTACCCAGGCCTATATCCCCATTTGAGCCCCCTAAAGGGGGCTCTGGGCTTTGCCGCTGCCTCTCTGGTGACCTCTGTCACCAACATCCATGGAAGCTGCGGCTGGTTTAGCATCCCCAGTAGAGGGGACGTGGACAGCACCTTCTAGTCTGGTCCCTGGGTCCAATATCGCTCCCCTGAGGAGGAGGCTGCCCAGGCTAGGAAGACTCCAGCTCTACAGACCACTGTATCATCCTTTGTCTGGGGATAGCAGCTTGGCATCTGGTGCAGAGACAGGGCCTCAGCAGCACGTTGTGCCTGAACTCATCTGCCCTGGGAAGGTACGGCTCTGCCTGCTCCAAGGAGGAGCCTCTCACTCGATCTTCCTCCACCCCTAAAAAGGAGCTAGCAACACTAGCATGTTAGGGACGGATGCTTTTTTCCCTCAGGCCTTAGGGCCCAGGACTAATACTTTGTCAACTGGTTCAATGCTGGGGAACTTTAGAAATAATCTAGTTCATTCCCTTTTTCCTTAAAAAAAACAAAAAACACCACCACCACCACCACCAAAAAAAAAGAACCCCAAACAAAAAAAACAAACAAACAGGAAATGGGCCCGGAGAGGGAAAAGGACAGGTTCAAGGTCACACTTAGCTCGAGGCAGAGGAGCCAGAACAAAAAACGGAGTCTCCTGCTGGCCAGCATGGGCTGAGCCGGCTGCTCCCTGGCCTAGATGGGCTCTGCCTCCATGGACCCTATCCCGAGTAGAGCTGCTGGTGCTGGCTGGTCCTCAGAGGAGCCTCAACAGGTTTTAAACTCTCCTTTAATAACTCAACAAATTCCCTATTAATGTTTGTGGGCCCCACTAACTGCTGTGTGATCCTCCAGGAGTCACTCGACCCCGAAGGTCTCATTTTTGTGGTTCACCAAAAGGAGCAAATTCTTACCCTGCTGCCCTGGCTCAGGGCAGGTGGGAAGAGATGTGCCCCATTCTTAGTGGCCGGGTCTCTGCTGCCTAAGGACCCAGTGAGGTTGTACTGGGGAGTTTATCTTATGATCCAAGCAGTCAGGGCAGGACGTAGACGACAGTGACTTCTTTTCCGCCCTGGCTGACCCCGACTGTTATGCTTGAGTGTCCCTTTAGAAGAAGGGACAGAAGCCAATTGTATAGAAAATAAAAACTTTATTTTTTTCAAGTTTATAAGATAGTTCCCATTACATATAACATTATGGTCAAGGAATCTACAGCCACGAATGCCCTCGGTCACATAAATATTCCAAATCCCACGTTTTATTCCTGCTTTGAGGCATCGAAAGTCCAGAGGGAAAAATCCAGTTTTAAGCAGAATCAGTCCTTAAGGGAATGGTTCCTGTCAGTGCAGTAGGGACTAGCCAAGTAGTTTTATTTTCCAGTCTTCTTTCTGAGAGGGAGCAAAGGGAGGACTGAACCATTGCTACTGAGCTCACCCAGGGTCAGGACATGAATTTCTTTGCTGTGGCTTGAGACCTCCCAGGATTCAAATCTGGTTTCCACAGTTTGAATGCTTCAGCTTCTGAATGAATAACGAAACAAGGAATGGTGAGAAATGAAACCTGTCTCAGGGGCGTGGAAGTTCTGTACGGTGAGCCTGCCTCTCCCAGAGCTGGCTACAGCCTTCTGCCCATCACGGCCCCCACAAGGAGGACAGTCACGTATGTGCATAGCGTCTGCCTGGCAGCTCTCCCCAGGCATTGGCAGCAGCCCCACAGTCACTCTGGCGGTGGTAGATGGGGCTGGGAAGAGCCCTGCAGCCACCACTATTTCCATTCAAATGCAATCTGCCACCAACCTGAGCTTTCACTGAACCTGACCTTGGAGTAAATGGTACCTGGTTGCTCTCTGCTAACAGCCTCCACACCTATCCCTCGGCAGAGAATGAAGGAAAAAACCAAACCCAATGAGAACACACATATTGCAGAAGCCCTAGGTGGGCTTCTGGGCTAGCTTGGGGGTCACTTCACGGACACACAGACTTCCCTGTCAGTGCTCTGGACACGGTGACACTAAGGCACGGTCAGTTTTACATTCGAAAGGTAAGCCGCCCTATGACCCTGGGGTTCTCCTGGTGGCTGTGGATCACCAGGGGCAGTTTTTGGACCCATCTTACAGGAACCAATGTCAGGTGGAAGTGTCAATTACTTGGCTAATTCCATAGGGGATTGTCTCAAATACAAAGGGTTTCAGGCATGTTCCACTAGGCTATTTTCTTGGAAACTAAAGGATTCATAGCATTCCTCAGCTCCATCCCTACTAGGCCCAGCCCAACATAGTCATCTCCATTCCAAAGATTCCTGGAGATAAGGGAAGTATGTGCTGTGTAGGCAGAACACTGCAAACTGGTAAAGTGGAGGCAGATTCCTCCTGGCCTCCCCTTTGGTGGCAGGGGGCCAAGGGGACTGGAGTAGCCTGGTTGCCCTCCAGGGTATTTCTCCTGAGAGAACTTCCTCCCTTGACAAAGTCAGAGTTCATCTGCAAACAACCTGTACCCAGCTACTGGCCCCTGTACTGGGGGGGGGGGCGGGGAAACCCCAAAAAACCAGGGTTCTAGGCTCCTTAGGTCACAAGAGTGGAGAACTTTCTATGGTATGTGGGAAGTTGGAGGGTGGATCCCTCTACAATTCTTGCCCAGCCTATGGCACAGCGTCCTCTGGGTAGGTGTAAGAGAAGCTTAGAACCAGAGAGAAGGCAGACTCATCTTCCTGATGTTGCTCTGCAGGTCACGAAGGTGCATCTGAAGGAGATGCTTCTGCCAATTCTAAGGGATGAGGAAGGAGCAGCTTCTCAGGCCATCAGGATCCGAGGGACGGTCTCGTGTCTGCTGCTTGCTCCTCCGCAGGGCTCGGTGGCCTCAGGCAGGGCCCAGTTCCTCTCTTTGGGTTGGCAGAGTACAGCCCCCCTGAAGACAGGCAGAGCCTCCTGACTCCCCCAGTTGTGTCTCCTCTCCAGCCAGAGACCAAGGCAGCTGAGACTAGGGAAGTTCAGGCGGCAGACTTAGGCTGCTGCCAACGAGAGATGTTCCTCTTATGGCGGGCATTTCCCAGGGTCTCCAGATTGGCAGAGGGAGCCCCAAAGATGCCATTTCAAACTGGGAGCCAATGGAAAATCAGGTCACATCGACGGCTCAAATAGCTGCAACTCTACCAGCCATGCCTGGGATTCACAAGCTCAGCGCTAGCCTGTGGGAGTCAGGGCTGACTGGAGAAAGCCCAATTCCTTGCCTCAGGTTTAAGGTCTCAGCACACAGTCAGGGCCCAGCAGCATCATCTACACCTGGAAAGGAGCCTGGGCTACGTCCCCACAGCTGTTGGAAGAAGAGGTGGTTCACCGTCGGTCATACGGACAGGGTTGCACTGGAAGTGTGGGCAGAGCCTGAGGAGGTTGGTGACCTGGCCAAGGGATGCAGCTTCACTACACAGCTAGGAGAGAAGAGTCTTGGGGGACTGGGAGAGAGAGAAAAGGAGCAGGCATCAGGGCACCATAGAGATGGGAAATGTGCAAAGAGGTACGGGGCCCTCTCTTTGGTTTCTCTGGCCTGGTTCAGCCGCTGAGATGCCTGGGAGATCTGAGTGTTGGGCAAACACCTTGGTAGCGGTGGGGTAAGAATCCAAGGTTTATCTGGGTTTGGCAAGGGAGGCACAGGGGAGAGAGAACATTTTTTAGAACAGATGTCACAATGACAGAAGGTCACTTGTGGGGGCGCTTTTTAGTGCAGAAGCCTGGGTGCCCCTGACATATTTCCTTAAGGGCCAGCTCCTGCACTGGGCTCACAAAGCAGTGAAGCCGCTGGTGACCTCAGCAGGAGGGGGCAGGCCCAAATGAAAGAACAGCTTGGGGGGATGAGGGGGTCGGGGCCACCAACCTCAAGGGTGGAGAACAGGAAGGAGCTAAGGAAAAGCTACTGGCACGGGTAATGGAGATCAGAGACCATTCATTCAGATTTTCCAAGAAAATCTACCCTTCTGCCCCACCCCAACTTTTGGCTTAATGAAGAAGGGACAAAGAGAAAATCTGCTTCAGAGACCAGAGCCTGGCCTATAAAAAGAACACATCCATTCACCGGGAATAAATTCAATAGCTAAATGGATTGTAAAGGACGGAGACGTCACAAGAGCTTACTGCTTCTAACCTAGTGACCACAAGTTCATAGCACTGTGTTTTCCCATCACACACTACACTGGAGCACAACTCTGCCTCAGGGATTTTTTTTTTCCTTTTAAAAAGAAAACAACAATAGGAGAATGAAATCACTGTAGCTAAGGTGAGACTGCCGTCCTCTCCATCTGTCGCCTGCTTCTGCACCAGGCCGTGCCCGGGGATGGATCTCCCTCGTGGAGAAAACAAACTGTCCCTTCCTGCGCTGGGCTCGGCTGGGCTCACATCTTGTCCCAAAGAGAGAAGAGCCCCCGTGGGGAGGGAGAAGGGCTCCTGGGGCTGGCACCTCAGCTCCCATCCTTAAAGGAAATCCAGTTCCAGAGCTTGGTGGAGTGACACAAGGTCTCCATGGTTTGTGATCCTCCAGAAAGGCATGTTGTGCTGAAAGAGATGGGGGACGCCAGGTTAGTCACAGCCCCTCCACAAGCCACCTCCCAGGTGCCTCATCACTCAGGCCACCTTCCACTGCCAGGCTCGGACCACAGGTGATGGTGCCTTTGGCCTCTCTGGCCTGGTTTTAGCAGATCAGATCCATAACCAAGCTATCCTCAATAAGGAGACAGGCCAAGTCAGACAATCTAGAAGGATGGAAGGGGGAGAAAGTTTTCTGGGCCCTTTTCTCCTCTGTAAAATGAGGGGTTGCAAATGAGATGATCTCCAAAGTACTTTCTGGTCCTGATTTCTGGCTGTCCCCGACAGGGGAGAGATTCAGGGTGCAAACTGAAACAATTCTGGGGGATAGAGCCAATCTAGGGCTTTGTTTTGGTTTCCTATACAGGTTTGTAAAAGAAGCTTTGTTTTCTTTCTAATTTGGGGGGAGGGAGGAGAAAGAGGTGGATTTTCACAGATTGAAAAAAATAATTAAAAATTTAGACTGCGACTGTGGGAAAGCAGTAAGGCTAAGAAATCTTTTTTGTTCTATAAAACTTTATTGTGCTATGGGATTTGTCTGAAATTCACACATTGTCCTTCATTTATTTTGGAAAAGCAGGGAGGCTTTTGTGGGGCGGGGCTGGTAATACAGAAGGGGAAAGAAGAGCAGCACCACCCCATTAATGGGCTTTACACCATCACCAGACAAGAGCTGTCCAGCGTCTGCTTGGGCAGCTTCCTCACTGGTGGATAATAGTAACTGTCAGGACCAGCAGAGGTGGCCTTCTAGGCCTGTGCCACCCGCCCTCCTGCCTGTAGAGGCCAAGCCCCCAACTTGGACCCCCCGATGCGGCTTTAGGCCTGGCTCTCCTCAGGGCCATCCCAATCTGCTGAGTCATCAGAGACTCCAAGAACCTTCAAATCCCCTGACAGCTTCTTGCACTCATAAGAACATGGCTCTTTCTAGGAGACAAGGCGTTCCTGGTCATCCTTTTCTAATTCTGGGTATTCCCTCCCTCAGACTCCATACCCTAATGCACACTTTATAACTGAGGTCTGGGAAGGTTAAGGGACTTGCCCCAGGTCACCTGGAATTTGAACTCACAGCACCCCCTGTATTCTCACCCCCATCCAGGCTTCTGTCAGAGAAGACCACCTCTGCCTTACTCACTTCACAGGCCTGACTCACATCGAGTGCAGCCTGAAAGGGACAATGTGTTAGATGCACACAAAGCACCACTGCTACTGGGGTCTTCTTTTTAGGGAAGCCCACATCCTGCACAGTCACAAGGCCCAAAGGGCTGGAGAAACAGGAATGAGGACAAACAGATGAAGAAAGGGAAAGGATGGGGAAAAGGACGTTCTGCCTGGCGCTGCCGCTCAAGGCACTAAAGATGCTCATTAGGAGGGCAGCAGACTGCACCAGGCAGGAGGGAAGGGGAAAAGAGAACAGAAACCTTTATTCACTTTCTATAGTTTAATACACATTCTCCTTCTCATGGGAAACCCATGAGGAGGAAGTAGGAGGATCCTTCTCTGGCAGAGAAGGGCAAGGAGAGGGCATGGAGGGGATGACATGTCTGAGCATGTGGCTGGCAGGTGTGAGGGGCAAGGGCACCCTCTGTCCCCTCGGAGCTTTACCTGTATGCCAGGAAGGTGAAGAACGGAGGAGGGGAACCAGAGAGGCCCTTCCCTCGTCACCTCCCAGGGCCTCAGAACAGTCTGGGAGTGAATCCCCTAAGCTACAGTCTGCCTCTGTTGTTGGCAGCCAGGCCTGGTCAGGGGGTGATGGAGGCTGCAGGGCTTTTCCAAGGCCCTAGTGGCACACATGCCACTTTCTCACATGTAAGAATTTGTTTTCTCTCCTGATATTACCTGTTTGGCTGCAATTTCCTCATCCCGTCCGTCTCCGATCACTACATATGTCACTTTCTTGCCAAATCGAGACACGATTCTCTCGAAGCAGCTCTCCTTACCTGTGGGGAAAGGACAGCTTGGGGTGGGACTTCTGTTTCTAGTTTCTGTGGCCCAGAGAAGGCCATTCTGTAAGCCAGCTGTGCCAAACTTCCTCTCCGGCCTCCTATTGCCACACATCTCCCTAGAGTAAAAATCTTGGGTCCCGGAACCCAGGCTTCTACCCTAGTCTTCGGGCCTTGCTCAGGTCCCAGGGTTGGTGGGGTGCAGGGGTAAGGAAGGATGTTTCATCAGCTTGATGGAAAACAATTTCTAAATGTATGACCTCCTGACACAACTCAACAGATGTCCCTGTCATTCTCCTGGTGAGGGCTGGCTTTGTGCCTCAGCTGATAGCTGCCTACATGTCATTCCTGAGCTTCCCCAAATAAGCCCCTGGCCTGACCCCTACACCTCACCCATCTACAATGTGTTACTATCTTTAGGTTTTCCCACTGTCCTTTGCAGGATCCCCTTTCAGGAGGCACCTCCTCTCCACTCACGGAGGAGGGATTAGCTTCTCTGTTTAAGTCAGTACCAAGGCTAACGTGCTGGGGGTCAGCAGGCAGCATGAGGGATGATGGGGTGGAAAGGAGATCTTGCCAAGTTTTAACTGAAGGCCAGCGCTGGCCTCAGCCAGTGTGCCCAAGAGGAGGTGGGCCCCATCATCTCCTGATGCTCACTTCAGCGCTGGGGCCCTGGCCCTGACCCAAGGGAGCACACCAGCCAGCTAGGGAAGCATCCCATTTCCCAAGGGCACTGCCTCACTTCTGGGTGCTGAGGTGTAAGAGCAGGTGTTGCATTACCAAAACTCATCCCAGGTAATAGAGGCAATTAAGGCAGCTTTCCGGGTAGATTGTATGCCTCGTTTGCCCCATTTCTAGACCCATCCCATCTCTTTAAGGCTCAGCTCAGGCCACACCTCAGACAGGAGGCCTCTGCTAATCTCCTCAACACAACTGACACTACCTAGAGCTTCTGTACTAAACATGAACACCTGTCACTCCAGTGCCTCAGCACAGTGTCACATACCTTCAGGTACTTCATGAATGCTTGCTGAACTCAATCTGAGAAACTCAGCTGTTTGTACATCCCCCCCACCCCGCCCCCACAGGACACACCAAATTCCCTGCCTCCTGCAGTGTCACAGCCTGCCCCCCCCCCCCCCAACAACTGGTTTTTGTTTTCATCCTGAAATTTAAAATGTGAACACCAGATTTGCTATCTGAGTTATCCTTTATTCTCTAAACACCCAATGGAAAATAAAGGCTTTAAGATCCTAGAAAGTCACAGCTGGAAGGAACCAGAGAGAAAATCTGTAAACCAAACCGCTCACTTTACAGTAGAAGCTGAGGCCAAGGGAGAAGTGACTTGGCACAGGTCAATAGCAGAAGCAGGACTAGAACACAGGTCACCCGACTCTTAGTCTAATGCTTTTTCTACTACACAAAAATATAAATATAAATGAAAAAGGGAAACTTCTTCCTCCAGCGCCCCCTTCCTCAGCTGCTCTTATCATCCTTCCCTCCTATATCCCAGGTCTTACTGCCCAGCACCCACTGCACCTCACCCCACCCTGGACCCAGCATCCACTGTACCTCACCCCATCCTGGACCCAGGGCTCGCATTCATAACTGCTCCAAGCCTTTTGGCTGCTCAACCCCATCAGCTGGCTCCTAACTTGGAACACTTATACATGTTACCATCTCTAACTGTGCCCTTTACAAAGCATCAGCTACTGAATAAATGCCTGTTGAATTTAAGTGACCGGGTCCTTTTTCTCTTCTTGGCCTGTTTCCTCATCTGCCAATGGCAGTGGGTGAAACAGATCCCCACCGAGGTCAGATACTGTTCTATGGTCTCTCCTGGCTCTAAAATCCTATGATGGAATTATCTTCTATATCCTAAGTATCCCGTACATTAAGCTAAACACATTTTTATCCAGCACCTACAATGTACAAATCCAACAACAGTCCCTGCCCTTCAGGATGCCGTGTGTGTGGAGGAGTAGGGGGTGGGGTGCCTGTTACAGTACAGATTGAAGTCGATGACCTTTGAAGTGCCTGCAGCTGTTTCTCCTGGGTCAAAGAATACAACGTATATCCAGATAGCTACGAAGAAAGCAAACACTACCATGACTGGGGTACTAAGGAAGGCTTCACAAAGGGGTGGGGGTGGGGGTGAGGAAGAAGAGTGGTCTGTGAATGATGGTGTGAATCACTCCATTTACAGAACAGCTAAGCGGCTCTCCTGGCCAGAGTCCCGGTTCGGGTGTCTAATGGATTCTCCCTTCCCCTCTCCCACATCCTCTAACCTAAATCAAAAGACATTCGGTAGGCCACTGTTCAATTCAGATCACCCAGAATGCAAGAATCACAATAAACCATAACGACAGCGCCAGAAAACCTCAGAAGGAAACAGAAAAGCTGGACAGGGCTATACTATTGTGCTCAATTTAACAGGTCCTTAAAAAACAAGCTGAAAGGGGTAGCAAGATGGCGTAGTGGATAGAGTCAGGAGGACCTGAGTTCAAATCTAGCCTCAGACCAGACACTTGACACTTAACTAGCTGTGTGACCCTAGGCAAGTCACTTAACCCCAATTGCCTTACCAAAAAAAAAAAAACCAAAACCAAGATGTGCCTCCTCAGGATGCCATCTTTTAGTAAGGGGCAGGCCCAGACTCCCCCACTTATCCTGGGAGGTGGAGAAGCAGAGCCTGGAGTAAGACGACCTGGATCGAGGTCTTGAATCTACCACTCATTAGCTTTGTGACCGTGGCCAATTCATTTCATTTGCCTGTGCCTGAGTTCTCATTTGTCTCCTGATCAGTAAAACAAGTCAGCATTTTATTTACATTTATATTTACTTATAGTTATTTAACTGCAAGCAAAGTAAAGAAATACCTTCCAACTTTGAGAATATATAAGCCTACAAAATGAGAGAATGTGTAAAAACATCGTGTAACTTGAAAGTGCAATTATTTAAATGCCATCCACTTTGCAGGATCATGTCTGGCACCCAAATTTTGTATGAAGTCACCCTGCTACCTCTCTAGGTAACAGTCAAAGGCCTAAGAATAATGATGACGTTAGTGACAACAACAGTGAAACCTTAGGCAGTACTTTAAAGTCATCTGATCCTGGGCATAAAGACAGAAGGGGCCCCTGGATGTTATTTGGTCCAACTCTCTCATTTTACAGACTAGAAAACTCAGACCAGACAGGTCAGGTGTCCTGCCCAAGGTCACAAGGCAGGAAGTGGAACTAGGCACACCCCCATTGTATTATGTTAAATGCTTTCTTCATATTACCTCCTTAAAGTCTTGCAATAGCCCTGCAAGAGGAACACTAATTGCATCAGTAAACTCACTGAACAGATGTGGAAACTAAGGCAAAGAAAAATGAAGTGATTTGTCCCTGGTTACACAGCTACTAAGTGCCAGATATGAGATTCAAAGCCAGGCTCTCCCGGCTCAGGGTTCAGGGTCTTCCGGTACACACAATGGTGCTCTTTTGTTACATACATGGGCAGGCAGGTTTCCTAAAAACTAAAAGCAGCGCCTGCTGTAAACTGAGATTCCAAAGGAGGCACAAACTCAAGCTCTCAGCTGCTGCTGGAAAGTGCTTTCTTTCAAACACTAGGTTACTAAGCCCAAGGGGGACAAGCTGGGGAACCCCTTCCCCAATGTCGGGGCTGGAGAAGCACAACAGAAGCACGCAGTACCTATCTTAGTAGCACTGTAGATGTTCTCGATGGGGAACACTTCTCCCAGGCCATACAGGAGGACTTTGGCCAGAGCAGGCACCAGCTGTGTGGTGGTTATCAAGACATTCACACAATTCTTTCTGGAGAAAAGGAGAGAAAATTCAAGTCAAAACCTTAATACGTGGCTTGATCAAGGCTGGTGACATAAGGAAAACCAGACTGTGATTCAAGTCTAACAGGCTAAAAAAATCCTAGAGGGGGAGAACGTCAGCCCATCTTCACCCCTCAAGCATGAATTCCCTCTACAACCTCATCAAAATAATACCAACATACATTTCCATATCGCTTTAAAGTTTATAAAGTGAAACCATGAGGTAGGTAAGCCATTTTATAGGTGAGAAAAGTCCCAGAGAAGGTAACCGACTTACCCAGGGTTACACAGTAAACAGTGAAGCTAGGACTCAAAGCCAGAAGCATTGACATCAAGCCCGTCACCCTACCACGGTGCAGAAGACGTCCTTGATGCGGGGTCTCTCAGCCTCTACTTAAGCATGGAGCACCATGACAGGGAGCTCACTATCTGCTGCACAGAGGCTTTTCATCCCAAGTACAGATGCCTCTTCCTTAACACTGATCTCAAGCCCGCCTCTTTTTAACTTCAGCTCTCTGGTCCTAGCTCTGTCTCCTGGGGCAAAGAAAAACAAGTCTCTCCCCCTAAATCTCCTCTTCTCCAGAATGAACACCTTCAGGTCCTCCAACTGACCCTTGTATGGCACGTTTCTCTTCAGTCCCTCCCTCTCCTGGCCTCCTAGACACACCTGAGCTTAGACATGTTCCTCCCTAGATGTGCCGCGCACGTTTCAGGTCTAACCGGACACTATGCTGCAGACGTGGCCTGATCAGTGCAGAGGACCATGGTCTCCATCCTTCTTAAGGACTGTTAATGCAGCAGCTGGCTCAGGGAGGGCTGAGTGCCACGCGAACCCCTGGAGCAACGATGCTCCCTTCTGAACTTGGAGAGTCAAGGCAGCACATATATTGGAAAGAGCACTCTAGGGAAGGGTCAGGACCACTAAGATCTGGCTCTAGAACTTACTTTTGTGTGAGCCTTAGCAGCGTCTTCTGAAAAGTGGAGATAAAAGTATCTTCATTACCCACCTCAGACAGCTGCTCTGAGGAAACACATCTAAGACTAGGAGCAATTATCACCATTACTACGAAAGACTGTTCTAACTGTTTGATGTGTGGGGAAGCTTGGTTGCCCAAAACATTACAAAACACATGAAGGCAGGGGGTCTACAGGGCATGCACACACCACTGTATCCTCCGCGATGCTATGGCTGGGTATCAAACACGATTAATACTTGCTAAATTTAAAACAAAGTGTGACCCACGATGAAAGTTCCCTTTGACAGGAAAGGGACTCGGGGAGGCGCTCCAACTGGGATCCCACTGGATCTGATTGCGAGGTTGGGGTTGCTGGGCCTGTGCCTTGAGTGAACGTTCTGGGACAGAGACTAGAGGTGGTAGAATGAGGTCAGGGCATGAGTGTGGATTCTCATGTCTATGTGAAATTGGTGACAACCCCCCTACATTTAATAAATCACCAAAGCACTAGCTTGGGCATGGATGGACACAGTGTTGTCACATGCTGTAACCCTGGATTAACAAGTTTCCTTTCATAATGAGCTTCTAAGATACATCAGAATAAGAAATAACAGCCCCGTCCCACCCCAGCCCCAGCTTGGCTTCTTCAAACCCAGTGTTTCCTCCAGGTCAGCCCACATCAGGGTCCACATTCTCTAGGAAGTTGGCCCTCATAACTCCAGTGCTCACAGACCTCTCTCTCCTCTCCCCCCCCCCCGCCCCCAACTGCTCAGCCCACCTGAGGAGGGGTGGAAGAGCTTTGCTTTGAGACCATTAGCCTGTAAAGATCAATTCCATACCTGGACTGGATGAGAAGTAAAGACTTCAGTGCCGTTCCCAGCCAGGAATCAGTTAAGACTTCAATTTCTGCTCTTAGTCTCTGAAGTGCTTCCTTTCTCTGGGGACTGAGAAGGCCTTTGGAAACAAAACCAGACAAAGCTAATTCCTGACATCATGTCTTGGCTGGTACAAGGGGGAAGGACTCTCTCCAAACTCAGGTGGTCCAGGTGAATGCCCATGTCGCTCTTCTTGGATGCTGCCCATCAGAGGGGAAGCCGAGCACCCAAGTGAAACAAAACAGCCTTCCCTTGTAGAACCATGACCACCAGCACCAGGGCACTTCAACTGAGGGATTCAATCTAAGCGTTCAACTCAACCCAAATTAACTCATTTCTTTTGATCAGGCTTGCCTATTTCTGGAAGGACCACAGGTGGTTACAAATAGACACAGCATATAAGGAAATACATTTAAGCATCAAACAGACCATCTGAGGAGATATTTTCAGGCACTACTGCAGAACAGACAGGAAAGAACACTTGGGAAATACAGTGACCTCTCAGGTTTACAGTAGCTCAAGAAAAGAGAGAAATAGGTTAGATGTAGGGGGACAGGGACGGGGGTGTTCTTTATGAGGAAGCACCGAAGTTTATCTACAAAGTTCATCTTTCTCTGTGCTAAATTCAGAAGGGAATTTTTTTGGGGGGGGGGGTTGGGCAATGGGGGTTAAGTGACTTGCCCCGGGTCACACAGCTAGTAAGTGCTATGTGTCTGAGGCCGGATTTGAACTCAGGTCCTCCTGAATCCAAGGCCTGTGCTCTATCCACTGCGCCACCTAGCTGCCCCTAGAAGGGAATTCTTGAAATGGGTTCCTGTATGAATGGTGATACCCAGCGCAATTAGGGTTAGGGCTAGAACCAGGTCTTTGTCCCCTCTTACCCTGCCCTTTGACATTCTTAGGAAGTAGTTCCTGACATCGAGCCTGAATTGTTCCATGTACTCCTACCCCTTGCCATTGCCACTGGCTCTGCTCCGTGAGGCCAAGCAGACCCAGGTCAACCCCTCCTCAGGAGCCTCAGGATAAGGATTCAGGTCCACCTCAGCTGTATGTGTGACTCAAGGCAAGGGGCTTCCTCAGTGAAAAATAAAGGTTGGATTATGTGGTCTTTAAGATCCCTGCCAGTACTAGCATTTAATTACTTTTTGAAATAATATCTAAAAATGTCAGAAAAGTCTGAGACACAGAGACCCCCTAGAAAAGCGCCCTTCTCCATGGTCTTGTAGATCATTAGCATCTTTTAAAAATGTTTTATTGATGCTCTTTTCTTTGTTTACATCACTGTCCCTTCCCATTAACTGCCTTCTATCCTCCTCCCTCACAGATCTCCTCAAACAAATGGATCCTTTCCTTGTAACCAATAAGGATAGTCAAGCAAACAAACCACAACTGTCACATCTAAAAATGTAAACCTTGTTCTGTGCCTATTGTCCTTGACCATTTTGCCATGTAACCTCCCCACTCCTGTAAACTCCAGTGGCTTCCTGTCATTTCAAGGATCAGATACAAAATCCTCTATGTGGCATTCAGAGTTGTAGTCCAAACTCCATCGTTAACTCACATGACCCTAGGCAAAGCAATTCTCTTCCTTGGGCCTCAGCTTCCTGGGCTGTGAAACACTGTGTTTTTATAATGTGTATATGTTCTAAGGGCTTTTCACTTCTGATGATTTTGGTTCTTTCGGCTGTAACACTATGAATATACTATTCTACAGAGTCTGAATAATCTTCAGCAGTGAAGCCCCTCTCCTCATGCTCAAGCTGCATTTGATCCTCTACTTCTTGCAATCTTTCAATTTTTTTTCAGTCTCCCAAACCTTGCCCTGGCACCCAGTCCTCCTGAGCTGTCCTTGGCCTTTCTGATGGGGTAGGAAATGTGGCTGATCGGCATGGGCATGGAGGGTTTGCACTTTCAAAGGGTTAACTGAAAAAAGAGTGGTTACAACCTCAGAAGAATTAATAGTACAATTCCAGATACTCTGGATTTGTTATGGACAAAAGGGCTTTCCCAGGCTCTCTGAATCATAATATAGTGGGTATCATCACTAAAGTCATTAGGGTGGACCTTGTTTTTTACTCATTATGCACTCATGATAATGCTGACCTCTCTCTGTGTGAGGTTTTCTTCTTCCTTGGCTTTATGAAATACTGCCCTTACGGGGTACACTCCTCTTATCTACTAGACCATTATCTTTCTTATTCTGTTTTGTCAGACCAATATTTCACCCATTATCTGTGGGTGTGCTCCAAGTACTAAACTCACTCTTTGTGATCTCATCAGCTCTCAAGAATTCAATCATGACTTCCATGTCAATGACTACCAATCTACACACCCACTCGTCATCTCTCCCATGAATTTCATTCTTGCATTATTAACTGCCTGCTAGGTGTTTTTTTCCCAGACAACCAACCAGGTGACAACTCAAAACTAAGCCCAAAACAAAAATTATGATGTCCCCTATCTAAACCTGCCTGTCCTTTGTAATTTTCTATTTTTACTGAGAGGATGCACTATTTTGCCAGTCACAAAGGTTCATAAACTTGAAGTTAACCTTGACTCTTTCCTTTCTGAGACCTGTTAAAGACCATAGCTTGAAAAGGCCAAGATCTCCTATTGCATCCTGGGCCATCTCCAGTTGTCCTGAACCATATCTGGCCACTGGACCCAGATAGCTCCAGGAGGAGAGAGTGAGGTGGTGACCTTGCACTGCCCTCCCTCACTTAAATCCAATTCACTCACATGTCATGGCATCACTTCCCTGATATCATGGTTCTTTTTGAGAACAAAGAACAAACATCAACAATATACAATCAGCTTTCAAAACCTGTTAGTTCAAACTCTACAACACGTCACCCAACCTGTTCCCTTTTTTCCACCAATACAGCCACCATTCTAGTTGAAGGCCTTCTTTGCCTCTTTGTTGGTTCCCTGCCTCCAACATTCACAGGCCACAGGTCGGACCACATCAGTTCCTCAATAATATTCAGTGGTTCTTTGCTGCCTCGAGGATAAAATACAGGCTCCTCAGGCAGGCTCCACCTTCCCTTTCAGGCTTATTATTTCCAGCTTAGGCCAAACTGGACTACCAGCTATTTCTTGGCTTATATGCTATCAAGTGCATGTGCATTTGCATTTGCAAGGGCAGTTCCCTATGCTTGGAATGAGATCCCTCCTTAGCAGCCCCTCTTAGACTCCAGGTCTATCTATAAAGGTCAGCTCAGGCTCTAGTCCCTCCAAAAAGTCTTCTCTCTGATCCCTCCTAGTCCTTATCTCCCTCCTTAAATCACTTTGCATTTACTTAGTTTATTCTTTGTGTTCCTTGGTTGAATACATGCCCCACCAGCTCCTCTGCTTTGGACTTCTCCATCACACCTCGGTGCTGCTAACTCCAACCCCTCCCCCTTCCCCTTTACAGCCTCCTTTGGTGGGTTGTCTTTCCCCACTAAATCGTAAGCTTCTTGAGGGCAGAGATGGTTTTTTTTTTTTTAAACTTGTATTTGTATCTCCAGTGCTTGGCATAGTGCCTGGCACATAGTAGGAGCTTAATAAACACTTATTAACTAAGTAGAACTTTTTCATTTTTGTCTTTAAATGTGCAATGCTTAGACCAGTGTCTGCCTGTGACAGGCAATTAGCAAACATTTGTTGAACTGAATGAACTTTCACAGTCTCTACTTCCTAACATAAAATGACTAATTCGAGATGTAGTGTGCTCATTAGAGGGAATCAGGGGTGGCTGTAGAACTGCAAGCCTCCTCAATAAACCAGAGGACTCCAGAGGCCCTGTCACAGCTCCACTGAACGGGTGTCTGTCCGAGGAGGCAGAGTGGACAAAGGAAGCAGGAAGTTTAGAGGGCAGAGATGACTGACACGGCCTCCAGGACCCCAGGACGCCAGCCTCCTCACTCTCCCGCAACCTGACTCTGTTTTTCTGTCTCCTGACAGCGTTTTCTCTGGCTGTTCCCCCATACCCTGGAGCGTACTCCCTCCTCCCCGTCTCTGCCTCCCTGCTTCCTCCAAGTCTCAGCTAAAACCCCACCTTGTACAAGAAGCCTTGCCTCATCCACTTTAGTCTCGGTGCCTTATCCTATAGCCATCTTCTTTGTATAAAGTTGTTCGCGTGTTGTCTCTCCCATAAGACTGTGGGCTCCTTGAGGGCAGGCACTGTCTTTTTCCTTTCACTGTATCCCCAGTACTTATTATTAGCACAATGCCTGGCACATAGTAGGTGCTTAATGCTTAATGACTGATTTAAGACACAGGTAAAATGCTATGTCCTCCAAGATGCCATCCCTAAATTCTCTTCCCTCTCCTAAAGATCTTCTTCATCTGATCTCCTAGCATGACATATTTCTCATATGCAATTATATTCTAATTTTTTATTACATTTATCTGGATGCATGTCTTATCACACCTACTAGGCAGGACAGGGTGAGATCTCATTGATCCTTATATCGTCCCCAACATCATGCTTGCTGAATGAGCGAATCCAATTGAACGCTCATTTTACTTAACAGTTTTTGTTTGTTTGTTTGTTTTTTGGTGAGGCAATTGGGATTAAGTGACTTGCCCAGAGTCACATGGCTAGTGAGTGTTATGTGTCTGAGGCTGGATCTGAATTCAGGTCCTCCTGACTCCAAGGTCGGTGCTCTATCCACTGCACCACCTCGCTGCCCCCTGAACACTTTACAAAGGACTGAACTGATATCTTAAGGAGGGAAGTGATCTGCCCAAGGTCACACAGTGAATTAGAAGCAGAGCCAAGATCTGAACCCATGCCTTCTAATTCCAGGCCTGGCACTCTATCCAACAGGCTGTGCTACTACTGATATGAAGCCTCTTTCAAAGGCCAGTTGCGGAACCTGCAGATTTATGCCCACGAATTGAAAAGGTTACTGAAATGTGTGCAGAAAACACCTAGACAGCTTCAGCTGCAGGGGGCACACTCAGAAAATGAAAACCCAGGGACCAAGGGACCAGAAGCCTCCATAATCTTACGGCAAAAATCGCCAATACTTCATTTCAGAGATTCCCATAGTATTTTGAACAAGATAGTAACAAATGTCATTCACAAAAGCTATAACAGCAATAAGAATTCAAAAGAACTTTTAAAGCATTTGTGGTGACAATAAATTCTGGCCATACCAAGAGTTAAAAACAAAAAGTTTCAACTAAGAGGAATACTTTCCAGAAGATCTGTTCATATCACAGGTACACAGTTAAGTTGCTTCTTAAAAAAAGGAAAAATAGTTTCTTTGGCAGACAAGGAAATGTCATTTAGTAGTTACGCTTTTTAGATGAAAAAAGAGTAAAAATGAACAGGCAAAATAGGAAGTCCGGCTAGCCTGCGCACTCACCGCCCACATTGCTTTTGTGTTTGTCATAGATCTCTCTCACTTTGCGATAGCGGAAAGCCAGCTTCCTCATCCAGTCCACTCCCCCCTGCACACCCACAGCGGAGCCATGACTCGCATTGCCTCCTGAGCCGCTGAAACCATCCGTTGAGAAGCTGTAGTTGCTGTACCGGAGAAAACATGGGCGATTAAAATCCTTCCCAACTGGATACCGGGTGACTCTGCTATCTGGGGTCTCTAGACTTTCTTGGCATTGTACTACTAGGTTTAAAGGTTCAATGAATTTTTTCCATGGTCTAAAGGAACAGACTAGAATCTGCTCATTATAACAGGCCAATGCCCTTGACTCTGCTTCCTGGAAAACTTCTGCAATGTCTTATTAAAGGGATGATTAGGGAACATCTAGAAAGGGAGGCAGGGATCACCAAGAGCCAGAAGAGTTTCATCAGGAACAGGCCATGCCAAACTAACTCTGCTTCTTTTTGTTGGGTTATTGGATTCAATTAAGTTATGTGTAGAAAAGGGATGTAGAGAAACTGAAGGGGGCTTACAGATGGATTACTTAAAACAAACAACCATAAAAGGAATTTTCAGTCCTATAAAAAGTAAATAAATGGGATTTGGGAAAGGAAATCTAAAGCCAGAAAAAAGTTAGCCTAGAGGAAGGAATGTTAAAGAGGAAACTATTTCTTCTATGAAGTATTATTAAAAAAAGCTACCACTTGACTATTTATCCAACAGCAACCAGAACCAAGTAGAAGGAAAGAGGCAGAGAACTTTTTGCCAACGAAGGCTGATAAACAGCAGAACAAAGTACCACAAGAAGATGTGCTGTTTCTTTCTAGAGACCTTTGCGAGGCAGGTAAGAAAGCCATGCTGAATGAAATCAGTGTGGCCCAGAACCTGAGTCACTGTCTGTGGGATAAAGGCCAGGACTAGACCATTAGTCTGAAGTCACTTAAATGTGGCCCAGGCTGGCTGAGGTGGAGCTTCCCCACCTGGGCCTCCGTAATTCCACCTTCATTGTAGTTCCATCTTGTCCTTTTCTTCCCGAAGACATCACCAAAACACAAAAGTTACCATCACCAAAGTTAGCGGGAGCTGGGAACTGCGCTGGCTGGGTTCAGATAAGATGATCTAGTGTGAAAGGACACTTTCTTCTGACTGAGATGTTTAAAATTTGTGACCAAAGAGAAGAATCAGAACTGTAGTTTCTTCATTACCTTAAGTCCTGCCCATTGTCATCAGAAGCCACATCTTCCACATGCACTTGGTCACATTCCTGTTAATAAAACAAGTCACATGGTGTTCTAGCCCAGTGGGGCAACACTCCTATCAGCGGACACAGAGTTACTGGGAAAGGGACAGAAACAGGTGAGCCAGAGTGAGCTGTGGCAGTCCATGTGGCAGGATGAGAGGCACTGCCTAGCCAGCCCCACTCCTTGCCTCTGCCCTTAAGGCCCTGCTGCCACCAGCTCTCTTTCACAGCCTCCCTTGACCTTGTAAAGCACCACTTACTTGGAACCCCCCTAGGCACTGACATACGTCCACATGCCTCCTGAGACCCCAAACAGATGGACTGCCACACTTGCCAATATTCCTGTGCCTGGCATGGGGCAGAGTGCCCCCAAGTCACAATCCTTTCCTTTCTTAGAGTTCTCCTAGCACTCTCTACTTCTCCCATGGCCTGGGCATGATGTCTTCTGTACCAGAGTTAAGTACATTCCTCATCTCACTACGCAACTGTAAGGAACTGGAGGGCAGACTCTATACCCTTACTTTATATTTCTTATACCACCTAGCACAGAGCTCTGCACATTAATAGGCCATTTATAAATATCTGTTGAACCTGATCACTTAATTGAACAGATCTTTATTTATGATAATTATGATGAAGGTGGATGATTTAGCTAGACTGTCTTAGAAGTGCTGGAAAAGTCCCTCTCAAAGTCCAACCCTTGTACTCAAAGCTTGGAGAAACTGAGCAAGGTTCTCAGGCTCTCATGGCTGGCAAATGGAAAGCCTGGAGAAAGACTCTTGTCTGGCGATGGACCAGCATTCTTTCCCATTAGCATGTCATATTCAGCATCCACTGGCAGCTGCTGTTCTCATCCAGACGATGTCTGCCCATTTGGGTCTTGTATGACCTATCCTCCTTACTTAGGTGATGGTTAAAATTCCCAACATACCTCCAAGTCATTGAAAAAGAGATGCGTGTCAGCCACCTCAAAGATCATCTCTTCCATAGTTAAACCTGAGCCAATAACAACTGTTGGGTCCTATAAGACAAGAAGATGGAAATCTGCTTAACCTGGCATCACAGGAAAGAACTTTGGAGTTACAATAGCAAATGGAAGAAATGTTGCAATCACAGATCACGGAAGCTTCCTTGCTGAATTATATAAAGTATATTACATTACAGGAACAAGCTAGGGACTTTAAGAAACAAGTGAAAGTCTGGTTTAAGCAAGAATTCTGGGAATATATTAATTTGTATGAAAATGAAAATCATCTTTTACTGAGCAAGCAACACATCAGGAAATAAGCCTGAAGGCTGACATTAAAAGTTGGATGGCAACTCACATTTATCTAATACCTTGATGGATTACTTCATTTGGTTTTTATACTATCTAGATGGGGAAAACAAAGTAAACCCTTAGGCAACTCAGACAGCAGGGTAGCACACCAAAGAAGATGTCTTCTGGTGAGCATACAGAATACGAGAGGATGAGCTGAGACATACGTTAGATTGTAGAATATTAAAACAAAGACCGTCAGCACATCCCAACTCCCAACTCACTCCTGGATTATACTAAATGAAGACATCCCATTGGGAAGATGCTCCTTCCCCAGAAGCCCAGGGAGACCAAACCTCAAAAGAGAGAATAAAAACTTCCAACAAGGGCAGAGCATAAAAAGAGCAGGAGGGAAGCTGGGCTAGACAATGTCTATTAGCCCATTTCATATAAAAGGACCTAGGGAAACAAGATTCCACTGCACAGACACAAAAGCTGCTGAACAATGCATTCTGCAAGTCCTCTGGCTCTCTCCAAGATTGGGCTTGGCCCCCTACAGCAGTTCAGTGCAAGTCAATGATTCCTGTAGCATGTGAATAAATGAATGAATGCCCATCTGGTTCCTACAGCATGTCAGGATCCAAAGTACTTTCCTAACAATCATGCTGTGGTCTAAATGGTGCCACTATTATTATCCCCATTTTATAGATGATGAATCTGAGGCTCAAAGTGGAGAAGGGTATTTACTGACCATGTTACACACTGACTGTCACAGACAAGACGATGAAACCTGTTATTAACAGGTTCCTGCTAGTTAATAAATCTTTAGAGAACTGGAACTCTTCACCCTTTTCTGGTCTTATAGATTTGAGGCAAGGTCATCATTTGGAAGTATTGCTGACTCGGGAACAGTGGACAGTTCTAGTCCTCTAGCACATTTGTGGAGTGGGACAGAATCTAAGGACTTGCAGGCTTGGCTAGTGGAGTACAAGCTCTGGCAGCTGAAAAGTCTTCAGGTATGGGCTGAACAATGGACCACCTGTCTCTTACCAAGAGGCTCAGCCTTGCTGAGTCTGGTCAGCCACCAAGTGATGAAGTTTTTGGCCATATCAACTCATAAAAACTGAGGAGTGAAGAGGATACGATTTGTGGCAGTGGAAGAATAGTTATAGGGATGAAATCACAGACCTTCTGAAAGATTAAAGTGGTAATGTCAGCACACTATTTAAGGAAGTAGGTATATAATAACTCTTTTAAAGGTTTCAATGAAAACTAGTTAAAAGGAGAAACATTTTTTGTCTTCAAAAGGGTTAATTTCAGTTGCATGGAAGACTTATTGATATGGCACTCTTCTTTCTTAAATAATATTAGACAATAAGGCACTACTGTAAGCACACCATTTAATTTTTTAATTAATATTTTAAATTTAATTTTTAAAAAAGTAATATTTAATTTAAAAAATCTGATCTAATTATAGAATTACAGTAGAGATGTAACTGGAGTTGGGATGATGGGGCTCTTCCCAGGGCATTAAATTTTAGAGGTTGCCAACAATATCTGCATTCCTTTATCAGACTGAAACAAGTTATTAAACTTAATCAGCAAGAATAATTAACCATTCCAGGTGAGTCCAACCTGGCCAGGATCACCCCTACTTTCTCTCCAACAAACAAGGGCCTTCTAGTAACATAAGGTCTATCTCCACTCTCAAGGGAAGGGTCTCCCCTACAATGGAACCTTGGGTTCCTAGGTCCAAGGTCTCTTACCAATACTTTTGATTTTGTCACTGTGGCAGGAGCAAAATGGCTAATTACAGCTCTAATAAAGTTAGGGAGAAGATCAAAATTGACCCAATACCATTTTCTTTTTGTTGCTACTGTTGTTTTTTGGGTATTTTTGTTTGTGAGGCAACTAGGATTAAGTGACTTGCCTAGAGTCACATGGCTAGTAAGTGTCAAGTGTCTGCTCTGAGACCGGATTTCAACTCAGGTCCTTCTGACTCCAGCGCTGGTGCTCTATCCACTGCACCACCTAGCTGCCCCTATCATTTTCTTATTGATTCTATTTATGGTCAATTGATTTTGTCCTGTAACTGCTTAAGTCATGGTTCTTTGCCTCTGAACTTAGTTCAGAATTCAAATGGCCTATAATGGGTTAAGTTTAGTTCTTTTGCCAATCACTGTTCTATTCTTGCCTCAAGGAATTCTGCTAGCCTTTGGGGATGTGGCTTGCCACAAGGGAGTTAGGCCTAATATCTTTACACCACCAAGTTATCCTTCAAGGACATCTGGTTTTCTATCCAAAGAAGTCTGGGCCACCATCTTACAGGTGGACTCAAACTATGAATATTTCCTAGTTACAGGAGGGAAGCAGGGGGCTGTTGCTATCACCTCATTTCCAACTAATCATATTGTTCCTCACACCTCAGTTCCGTAACCAATGTGTTGTCCTCAACCCCATGATGTCACCCACCCTGCTCTGTTCTTTGTTCTATGCTCCCCAAAACCTCTAAAAAGTGAACTCTCCTTTTGCTCAGGGTCTTCGGCTGGAAAGGGAAGCAGCTATTGACTCATCTTACTCTCAGGTTTTATGTCCTGTGGAAAAAATGCTATCTTGCTTGGAGAAACATGCCACGGTCTACCTTTTTGTTAAATTTTACTCACAATATTAGCTATCTTTAGGCTATGGTCATAAGAACTCACATCCATATAACACTTTTCAGTTTGTAAAACACCTTGAGACATCATTTCACGTGATTTAACTCTCTTAACAAGGCTGTGAGGTAGGTAGAGCAATTACAATTATTTGCATATTGTGGCAAACTACTGAGCAAACTACAACTCAGAGAGGTATCATCCTGACTCCCAGTGAAGTAGAAGCAGCACCGTAAATAGTGCACAGGACCTGGAGTTTAGAAGGCCTGGGTTCGAAATATGCTTCATGACGGGCAAGTCATTTAACCTTTTCCAGCCTCAGTTTCCTCAGATGTAAAATGGGCATAAAAACAACCAGCTTTAGACACAGAGTTGTGAAAACCAAATGAGATAATCTATGTAAAGCACTATGCAGATCTAAAAGAAGCATATTTCCACTAATCATACTGCTTAGTCAAGGCATTCGGAATAGATGAATGGAAACTAAATTATTCTCTATAGAGGGATTTCTACACTAAATTTCTGGGAGTTCCATTTCCCCGGCACATGTAACTGCTTGGCAGTTATTTGACTAAACAGTATCTGCAGCCTGGGCCTAGTGATCTCTGAAATCCAGAACTATGGCACCTGGCTTTCATCCTTGACTTCCCGTCCCATCCAGTCTGGAGGTCGGCACTCCCTCCACAGAACATTCTGAGACATGATTTTAACTCCAGTCTTGTGTTTCTATCTTCACCATCAGTGCTGTTCATCCCGTTCCCTTCCTGACCCAAGATTACTTAAAAAGTAACAGGAAACAGTGGGTGAAGGAGAAAGAGAGTAAGAGGAAATGCTCCATAGTTCTCAGCTTAAAGCACTGAGCACAGTAAGATGCAAAGTAAATCTGAACTGTAAGGATGCTCCAATGGAAAAAAAAAATCTAAGCTATGGACCAGCCCTTTCTTAGCTGAATTTCTTCTTTTTCGGGAGGGAATAGTGCTAAGAAAGAATGGATTACACTTACCTTTCCATACTTCTGGGCATAGGATCCTGTGAGAAGAGAATGGAAGATGATGATGGTTTCATCCAAGTCCCAGAGAAAGACCCGCTGGGCAAAGAAATCAGGAAAGATAAGAGCAAACACATAAGGTTACAATTTGGGGACATCTAGAATTTTAGACCAAAAAGCGCCCCTTGAGAATCATCTACTGACAATTGGAACTCTTGATGAGAGGCAACATGGTGCAGCGGAGAGAATTCAGGACTTGGGAGTCAAGAAGACTGTGGGACCCTAGGCAAGTCACAGAACCTCTCAGGGCTTCAGTTCTCTCCTCTGTAAAATGACAGGTTTGAGGCAGCTAGGTGGCACAGTGGATAGAGCACCGGCCCTGAAGTCAGGAGGACCTGAGTTCAAATCTAGCCTCAGACCAAACACTTGACACTCACTAGCCATGTGACCCTGGGCAAGTCACTTAACCCCAATTGCCTAAAAATAAAAAAAATAAAATGATGGGGTTGGACTTGATGGGCTCTCACTCTAGGATGTCATGGTCCTGTGAATCCTTGGCTAGCAGCCTTTGTACTCCATCATTTGGCACCCTCCCTGAAGTGTCATACACGCTTCTCTTATTGATGGAACCAAATTCTGCAGGAACCAAGTCAGGAGAGGAGAGCCTCTACATCTGATGTTTCAGAGCTTACCACCATCACTGTATTTCTAGAAAATTCTAGAACATTTATCGCCATGGAATAGGCAAATGAAAACCATATTAACAAACAGTAGCCCCAAAGATACAGGCTCAAGACAACCTGATCCACTCATTCTGGCTAAAACTCTCCACAGGAGAGGGTGTGGATAAGCACCACAAAGCAGCCTCTGATCCCCTCCAGTTTTATAATCCAGTGATCACTCCACAGACACTCCACTGCCCACAACTGGACAGTTTATGTCAGTTATTGGCTCTGGGCTCATTTGTCAGATGGTCAAAGATAAAAATGCAACAAGCTCTGTTTGGAAAATCCATTTTGGATTCAGGTAAGACTTTGCTTCTTCCCTAAGAAGGCACATGGGCATCTCTGAAACTCAACTTAAATGTCACCTCCTGCACGAAGCCTTCCCTAATGCTCTTCTCTAGCCAGTACTTTCCTTCCTAGCAGAATTCATACGGCACTCAGCTCTGCATCTCTCTTATATCCTTATGTATTAATTTGTTTTCTCTTCTCTACTATATTTCATCACTCTATGAGCTCTACCAGTGCTACTTAAGCCTCCTAATTTCCCACCCAGCATTTAATATTGAACTGTGATTTGGACTCGAGTTATCCCCTGATCTCCAGGCTCTGCTTAGCCCGATTAAGTACTCAAACACACGCAGAAGAGTCACACACACGCACACTCTCTCTCTCAGCTCACTGTCCGGGTGATGACAGTGAGCAGTGAAGAACACTACAGAGGAGGCACAGAGCAGGAGGTTTACACACTTCCAGCTCACTGTCCGGGGCAGGTGTGGCATCAGCTCTCCTCTTGCCCCGGTTCTTGGCAGGCGTATTTTTCCTAGACTGCTCTTCGGGGTCCTTACTTGGCGTACCCCGGGACAGAGACGGGCTGGAAGAAGGGTCTCCTACAACAGAAACAGAGACATGCAGCAACCTGAACTCAAAGGTGTCAGCAACAGAGTTGGGAGAGTCTGTCCCTAAGAGGCCAAGATAGGTGCCAGGAAAGGTGACTCTAAGATGGGTATGACACCTCACTATCTTCAGAGAAATGGAAATTAAAACAAGCTAGGGGTGCCACTGCATGACCATCACACTAGCAAAAGTGACTCGAAGTGACCCCAATCAGTGCTGGGGGGAGTGTTGAGAAAAAGGAACATTTCCACATGTCAAACAGAGCTGCAAGTTGGCAGAATGCTCTGGAAGACCACCTAGCAGTTCAAAGTAAGAAACCAAACCCCACCCCAAACCTTAGGACCCAACACTCTCTGTACTGGAGCACACACTCAGAGTGTCATAATGAATTCAGTTTAACTAGAGAGACATTCACTGAAGGAGTGAATAGCATTTAGCAAGTACTAAGTGCTGGGGGACATACAAAAGCAAGACAGGTTTTTCCCTCAAGTAGCATGCCATCTAAGGGGGAAAATCTTATGGTCAAGTCAAAAATATAACTAGAAGCATTGTCTGTAATTGCAGAAAACTGGCAACAACCTATATGTCCAACAGATGGCGAATGACTGAAAAAATTATTGTATGTTAATGAAATGAAAATAAGAGGATATGAGGAATTTAAAGATTTGTCTGAAGCAATGTGAAGGCAAGAAAACAACCAGAACAGGAGATACACTAAGATTATGAAAAAAATCTATCTCCATCTATACAACAAAGATAGCAATGAAGGAACAGAAGAAATAAAAGTATATCAAAAGAATCCCTAAGAAGCTGTTAAGGACTTATTGTATGGAAAACATTATTTTTATGTGCAAATAGCTATAAATGCATGTTTATTTGGTCACTGTTTCCTTCAACTGCATAAACATATAGGTTCCCCCCCCATTTTATCTAAATTTTTTTTCTTCTTTCACTTAACAGAATTTTATTTTTTCCATTTACATGTAAAGATAGTTTTCAACATTCACTTTTATAAGATTTTAAACTCCAAATTTTTTTCTCCCTCTCTCCCTCCCTTTCCTCCTCAAAAAGGCAAGCAATCAGATATAGGTTATACATGTACAATCAAACAGATATATAGTTTTAATAATATATTCACTAAAGGAGATAGAAATCTGATGCTACCATATGTATGATTCTGTGATAAATAGGCTTTAGCGAAATGATTAGGATTTGATTATTAGGTGTGATCACCATTTCGCACATCATACTATTCTTGCTCAAATTCTTCCAGTCATGACTTCTGCCTGCAGAAGAACATCTTAAATCCTATGTTTGGCATCCAAGATCCTTGACAATCTGGCTTCCATCTACACCCCCCTACTCCCCATTACAAACCCAAATGGGCCTATTCACAGACTTCTTGCTATGCCCTGGCATCATTTCTGCCTCACCCCAATGCTCTACCCACTCCTGCCCCTGAAAGTCTGCTTATTTAAGTCCCACCCTTTCCTTAGCGGGGCACAGAGCCCTCTCTTTTCTCCTTTCCAGCAGCATTTGTTATCTGTACTGCTCCCTGGATGCCTGGCACCACCTCACAAGGTTTTTCATACCATGCTCTGTGTAGCCTGTGAACCTGTTTCACACCTCTGGTACCCTTGCCACTCAGCCCAGTTTATGTGGTTTGACATGCTGACAATATGAGAATACTAACTGGTTAGTATGGAAGGCAGCATGGCACTGTGGAAACGGTGTTGAGTTTGGGGTCAAAGGCTTTGGGTTCAAATCCTGTCTTTGTCACTTATTGCTTGGTTGTCTATGGGCCTCAGTTTCTGAATCTGTAAAATCAGAGAGTTGGCAAAATGATATCTAAGGTCCCTTCCAGTCCTAGAGCACTTGTTTGCAAAGGATCCAAAACAGTTGGGGCTTACATTCATCTGGTCCTCCTGGATCACTGACTCACAAAGGAGAAAGATGACACTCCAATGTACCTCATCCAAGGAAGAAAATCAACCTATGACATTGACTTAGCACTGGATAAATAAAAGGTCCCCACAATTATTAGGCAATACCTGTTAAAAGGAGTGACCTCAAGTGACATGTTCAGAGTGACAAGGCTTACTCACCAGAGGAAAGTCTCTGTACTGCTGGGGCAGGCACCATGACAGTGGGCTTCTCGGTCTGGTACGTGGATGCTGCTAACGTGGAGCTCTCAGTGTCACTGTTGCTTTGGCCTGTGACCCCAAAGCTGGAGCTGGGGTAGCATGCCTGGTACTGACTCTGGCCAAGGATGGTGTATGTAGGATAGTCCTGGAGACCAGAAAAGGGAATTAGGAAGGGACAGACAACATTTACTTCAGGACCTCCATTTTAAAATGATATCCTCCAGAGGAACCGTGTGTTTAAGTAGTATGTGAAATGTAGCTTTAATAACGCCAGTTACTGTGGGAATACTCACCCTAGGTGTTTTCTACAATTCCATAGACACTTCTGTCAGTGTCAAATAAACAGTTATGTGGCTAACAGACAAGAGAGCAAACATTTACTGAACTATTAACAACAAAGCACTGGGCAAGGGATGTGGGGCAGGGGTACAGTCACATATAAGACACAAGCGCCCCCTTATCCCCTCCAGATTGGATCATACAGAGAAGAAAGTGAGTAAGACATGGCAATACATAAACAGTAAGGGCCATCAGAACGTTGCATAGAAGGGAAAATATCACGGTAGGTTGGAATGATCTAGGAAGGCTTCAGACAGGAAACAACCTTGAACTGGGCCCTGAGAGATGAGGAAGGTGGGATGTACAGAGAGGAGGATGTGGGGCAGGACCACCAGCAAATGTGTAGACCCAGAAACTGAAGAGGAATGCTCACTTGACTCCCTTCTGGAAAGTGAGCAGATAAGGCCAGGGCCCAGAAGGGGCTGGGAGAGTTGGCTGGCGGCTGGCCTGTGGGAGGCCTTTAATGCTTGAGGGGTCTGGGCCTGATTCTGTAGGCATTAAGGGAGAGATACAATGAAAGCAGCACTTTCAGAAGATTCACCTAACTGGTATGTGTAGGAATGATCAGGAGAGGGACAGAGAATAGATGAAGACACTGAGGCCCAGAGGGGTTCAGCGACTTGCTTAGGGTCCCACAACTAGCACAAGCCTGAGGGGGGCATCTGCACCAATGTCTTTCTAAATTCTGGCCCAGAAATCTCCTCATTATGTACGACATGCTGCAGGTACTCAATTCAATCAGGGTCAGGTAGAGGCATCAGAAGTGGAAGAGGACACGAAGAGCACAAAAGCACTGCTGAGCGACCACTGAGAAGACTTGTAGATGAATAGGTCTTAGGCACAGATCTGAGAGGAGTCAAGGAGAACTTGTTTGGGACACGGGCAAGTCAGAGAATAATAGGGCAAGAGAGAGATACGGCGGTTGGTTTAGGAGACACTGATTTGAAGTGCTGGCAGGTCATTACAGTGAAGACAACCCTGGTCCCCTGGCCGTTTCTTTACTCTGGGCAGGTGTTTTCACTGGCTGGAATGCATTTTCCTCCTCACCTCTGCCTCCCGACTTTCTTTACATCTCAGCTGAAATGCTACCTTCTACAGGAAGCCTTTTCTGATCCCCTTAATGCTAGTGCCTTCCCTCTGTTCATTATCTCCAACTGTTCCTTCAGGGAGTGTGTCTGTTCATAGCTGTTTACATGGTGCATCCCCCATTAGACTGTGAGATCTGGGGAGCAGGGGCTGTCTGTGATCTTTCTCTGTATCCTCAGTCCTTAACACAAGGCTAGCACAGAGAAGGAGCTTAATAAATGTTTACTGACTAACTGGTAAAAATGTGGGACTAGAGGCTGGGAGAGAGGTAAAGGCTAGAGATATGGGGAAAGGGGACGGGTGTCTTCTATACAGAAGACAGAGTTGTAGTTGCAAAGGTAGATAAAACCTTTCCTGATCTCCTTCTTCCACTGCTAAGGCCTGCTTTATTTTGCATCCATTCTACATGTAATTATATATGTACATGTTGTCTTCCTTGACAGAACAGAAGCTCCCTGAGAGCACCGTTTCATATTTGCCTTTGAATCCCAAAGACCTGGTATCTACAAGAACACAGGAGTGCAGGGGTCTAAGAACTGAAGCTCTAAGATTAAGAGTCTAAGAAGGGGATGAGGAACCAGTAATAGGAAAAAGGTACATTCAAAAAGGCAGGAAAAGAACAAGGGTGGAATAGGTCATATACATCGAGAGAGGCATTTCAAGACAGACTAGGCAGCACTGGATGGACGGGGTCAATAGCATCAAATGCTGCAGAGAAGGCAAGAAGAGTAAGGACTGAGATCACTGTTAACTTCTGAGAGAATAATCTCAGTAGACTGGTGGGGATTAAGGCAGGTTTGGGTAGTAGCAATGGTGACTACAGAGCAACATGCTAAGTCTGGCTGTAAAGGAAGGAGATATAAAGGAGGCAGCTCTGTGAGGGTGGATGAGCAAGGAGGGGACAGCAGGGCCTTGGAGCTGTTGACAATTAGGGACGCTCTCCATAGCTACACAACTACAGGTATTTGGGTGGGGGGCAGGGGGAGGGTGTCTCCAAGATTTGGGGCTGGGAGTGGGAATAAGTATAAATCCGAAGGCAGAAAGGAAAGAACGAGTGGAGAAGAAAGGTACCCTGGATTAGTGAATAGGAATGGAGATAACCAATTACCTGGTTTGAGATGCTGGCAACTGCTGATGCTGGAATATTGGCAATTGTGGATGAAGAGGAGATCAGGCTGGCATTGGTACTTGAAGCTGCAAGATTCAGAGTGTCAAAAGATATTAGCATATGATTATGCAGCTTTGAAAGGCCAGAAGAGGCTGCAATGCATTAAGTGTGTAGGGCAACAGGGAGCAGGCTACACACTTTGGCAAAAGAAGGCTGCAGTAGGTTCAACACTATCAGGATCAAAGGCAGGTAAGCTTTGTTTCTGTACTCTGCTCCCCAAACCAGACCAGACTTCTGATTATAAACAGAAGACCCCTAACCTGTCCCTGGCTCAGGAAGCTCACTACTTAAAACTCAAGCTCCATGGCAGCACACACAATGTATATTCATGGAAACAATGGCACAAGTTAAACACACATGTAACCCAATCACTTCAGCCCATCATCTCTGGCTGAGGGAGAATGATTACCTGTAATACGACCTGCTGAGGGAAGCCAAAAGAAACTCAGAAAAATCTCTGTGATAAATCCACGTGTAAGAGCTGTTTGGTTCCACAGTCCCCAAATCCCAGAGTGAAATAATCACTGTGGATAGGACATTGTCCTTCTACGACACAATATCTTCCTGTATGTAATAGGCCCTTGACAAATCTCGGTTGGAATAACTTGAAATAACAGCTTAACCTTGATTATTGGAATCTATTTAGTTTAACAAACAATAAAAGAAATGAATAAATGAATGAAAAGCCATTTAATTGGTGCTTACTATGGGCTGGGCAAAGTGATAAGCGAGGAATATAATACAGATAACAACAGGAGAATACAGTATGAAAACCAAGTCAGTCCCTGTCCACAAGGAGCTTACATTCCAACAGAAGAAAACACAAATGGGGGAGTTGTGATGGAGGAGGGGTGTTTTGGTCTCTTTAGTCACAGGACTGGTGAATGGAGTCACTGGACAATGGACTGACCCAGGAATAGTACTGCTAATTTGTTTACTGTTCCTAGCCCAGGACAGGAGAGGGGAGGCATGGAGGCAAAATGGCTGGAGTGCAATGGGGCAGATCTGAGGTGGGCTAAATGTTTTATTCTCACCAAGCATGACTCTGGAGTGAGAGCTCGAAAGAAGGCAACACCTACCCTGACCTGGTGTGAAGGAACTTGCCAATAAACCCAGAGAAATGCAAAAAGGATGACTTTTCTGGTCCCAAGAGGGATGGTCTACAAGTTGCTGAGGCATGCTGACATATGCCAGGAAGTTCTCTTCACTGTCCACACTACTGCATGAATCAAACCCCACAAAGTCCTTTGGCTTGGGAATTAACTAAAGGGTCTCCAGAGATCTCAGCACAGCTCTATGGGTAAATGTCAAAAAAAGGCTAGAGTTTACCTTCACGGTGCTTCCCAGGTTATGACTCCAGGACCTTAGAGATGCTAACTTCTACCTATTCTCCCTCTTTTTCATAAAAGCATCACAATAGGTCCCAGCTCAGACATGTTACACACACCAAAAAGCTTCATCACCAAGAAAATTAAAGTAGTTGAGGCCCACTTTTTGATAAGCCATGGAACAATGCAGAAGTATCAAGCCTAAAGAAAAATTTCAAAAAACAACAGGGCAGATGAAGAGGTGACAAAAACCTCAGTCATTCAAAAGGAAGAATGATAAACGTCCAATTCTATCCCTCAGGCGTCCTACAAAGAAGGCAACAAGATTACCTGAATGTTTAAGTGAACTGAATGTGAACAAGATTATACAGTAAGACATGTTAGTAAGATTGGATAGTAACACCCACAGTTTACTAAGAAAATGAGGCACAAAGAATGTGACTTGCTAAAGGTCACATAATGAAGTCACTCTCATCATGAGCTTCTCACAGTGCTGAGGACTAGGGGGTCTAGACCTGATAACCATCAGCTCCCAGAACCCTTTCGCTGACATTTTTTGTTTAGTTGTTTTTTCAGTTGTATCTGACTCTGTGAACCTTTTGGGGGTTTTCTTCAAAAAGACACTGGAATTTGCCATTTCCTCTCCAGGTCATTTTACAGATGAGGAAACTGAGGCAAACAGGTTTAAGTGACTTGCCCAGGGTCACACAGCTAGTGCCTGAGGGTAGATTTGAACTTAGGGAGATGAGTCTTCCTGACACATTATTCACTGAGCCACCTAGCTGCCCATGAGACCTTTACTGACACAAAAGACCTTAATCACCTAAATAACCTATATATAAGATAAAGAAGTAGCCCAGGACCTTAGAGACCATCCAGTCCAACACCCTCATTTTATTTTATTTTTTAAAAACATGCCTGAATGTATTTAGGAAGGAGGAACCTTCAGAGGCAGCACCATTCTATTTTTGTTTTTTGTTGCTGTTTAGTCAATTCCAACTCTCTGTGATTCCATTTGGGGTTTTCTTGGCAAAGATACTGAAGTGGTGTGCCATTTCCTTCTCCAGCTCATTTTACAGATGAAGAAATTGAGGCAAAAAGGTTATGTGACTTTCCCAGGGTCTCACACCTAGTAAGTGTCTGAGGCTAAATTTGAACTCAGGTCCTCTATAGGTAACTGTAAACGCTAGGAAGTTTTTCCTTACATTAAAATCCGATCTGCCTCTCTACAACTTTACCTTTTGCTTCTAGATCTTCTCTCAGAGTCAAGAAAAACAAGTGTAATCTCCCCCCCCCACCATACTATCACCGTCCCCCCACCTCAAATCCTCTCTTCTACAGACTAAACTTTCTCAGTTCTTCCAACCTCTCCTCACAGGATATGGTCTCCTGGTTTGGGACGCCTGCTTAATACCGCCTCTATTTCTTCCTTCTATCCAGGCTATCTGCAGCACAGTGCCATGACAAAGAGCTTGTTTCTCCCTGCAGTGATCTTCATCCAAATGCTCTCAGTTGTGCTTCCCTGCTTTGGTTACTGGGACCCACTACAGGCCAAAATTCTGCATGGACATACTATACGGCTGTGGGTCCAACCATATACCTCTTAAATTAGTATGGCTTTTCTTTTCCTTATAAATGGAAACAAACCATCTAATACCTTCCTTCAAAGTGGCTTCATGTCTCCTTGTGCCTTGACTATAGCATCTCAACCAAGATGATCCCTATTAAGGGCCTAATTAGAGCTTTTCTGCTTCCTGGCTGCATGAGAATGGGGAAGCAAGAACACAAAAGGGAATCAAGCAAGGAAGGGCCACTCCCCTGGCCTGCCTATCCTCATCTACTCCGTGATTTACAGGCCAGTGAACTCAACCTGGGGAATAGAAAGGACACAGGAAAACTCCATGTATCTTGACAGGCACTCATGTTTTTTATTTCTGTTCCACAGTTAACTGATAAGCTAAGTGGAGATTAGGCCAGGTATTCAGCTTATTAATGAGACTGCCTTGTAGGTTAGAAAGAGTTTCTGGGGGCAGCTAGGTGGCACAGTGGATAGAGCTCCTGCCTTGAAGTCAGAAGGACCTGAGTTCAAATCCAGTCTCAGACATTTGACACTTACTAGCTGGATGACCCTAGGCAAGCCACTTAACCCTGACTGCCTCACCAGAAAGGAAAAAAAAAAAAGAGTTTCTGGCTACAACACGGCGGAGATGACTTCTGTCTTACAAAATACAGGTGCCTGCTAGGAAGTGAGTGCTATTCAATGACTCTTCTACGCACAGAATAATGGAATTTTGGAATTGAAAGGGACAAACAGTATTGTGGAAGGGGCACTAATGCTGGGATCAGAGGATATGGATTTGAATCTAGATTCTGTTATTTACTGGGCAAGTCATTTCATCTCATCTGCAGAACAAAGGGTTTCAATGAGATAATGTATAAAATTCCTCCCAGCTCTGGGTCAATGATCCTTGGATCTCGTGAGTTATGAAAAAGGAACACAGAAGCTTATTTTTAATTTTCTAGATTAGGAAACTGAAGTGCAGAGAGTGGAAGTGAAATTACCTGAGCCTCTTGGCAGAGCTGGGATATGAGCAACATCAGCAATCAAACAAATACATGAAAAAAAATTTAACCTCAATAACTACATTCCATACTCTCAACGTCACCACTAAGCAGCCATGTTTTCCCAAAATATTCTGCTAGCCATCCTGAAAATTAAAGAGGTGGTGGGTTAAGAATGGGAGGAATTCTAAATGGGGAGTCATGACCGTAACAGAACACTCTCCAGTGCTGGCTATACAGAGATGAGTGGAACTTTGGAGAAGTGAGGGACACCTTATTTCTCCAAGTGGGAGTCCCCACGGTAACAGGCAACAATTCCCGACTAGCTGATTTCACTGGACAGAGACAACAACTTAGGTTTAATCAACAACCACATTCCATAAAATCCTGAGTCTTATCCCAGTGAAAGAAGTGATTCCTCAGTGAAAAAAGAAATCCCCGGAATGCTTGGTCACACCAGACGACAGAAAAGACAGTTGAATCACTCATTTCCTACAAATGGCTTGGCCAGGGGACTCCCTCGGTTATAAGAACATACAACAAAGGAGTAGAGGGAAAAGCTGAGTGGAATGTTCAGGGCATCCCTAAGGACAGGAAAAGTTACTATACCCCAAGGGTTAACTTCAGGAGCAAGAAGCAACAGTCTTCGATGTATGGGGTTCAGAGAGATAGATGCCAATTCCCTCTGGCAAAGCAGGAATGCAAAGACTCAAAGGGGCCCCAAAACAGAATCAATCAACAAGCATGTAGTAATCACATACTCTGTGTCAGACACTGTACTAGGGTGCTGGAGATGCAATGACAAAAAGGAAACAGTCCCCTTCTTCAAGAAACTTATTATCCCACTAGGGGAGACGACTAGTATATGCAAAATAAGTACATGGCATTTTTGGAGGGAAGGTTTGGGTAGCTGGAGAGAGGAATGAGATCAGGAAAGGTCTCATGTGGCTGAACGTTGGTGACTGAGTTGAGTTTTGAAGGAAATCAAAGATGTCAAGAGGTGACAGTGAGGAGGGAGGGCATTCTAAACCTTGGGAACAGACAGCCTGTGCAAAGGCGACTAAGACAGAAGACAGAGTGTTGTATGTGAAGGGCAGCAAGTAGACCAGGGTATAAGATGAGGAAAAATGCATAACACGATCGGACTGGAGAAAAAGGGTGGGACCAGACTAGGGTGGGCTTTAAAAGGCAAACAGAGAAGAAGACCAAGCAGCAGTAGTCAACTACTGGAGAACAAGGTGTGTGTGCGTGTGTGTGTGTGTGCGTGCACGAGCAATGAATCACTTCAGTGGCTGTGCAGAGGATGAATCAGAGCACCAGCCTGATGTAACTGGTAAGTTCTGCTGCACAGGACTAATTCAATTCCTGCTAATTCGGGGCAAACTAGGGATGTTAGAAATGAAGTGTATTTTGTACAAAACTGGAAAAGGCCAAATTAATATTCTGTTCAATCTCTCAACTTAAAATCTTCCAATCGTAAAGAGAACAATTCATCACCAACATATGCCTCTCCTTACTTCAGCGATGTGTTATTTCTTTGGAAGGGGGTACTTCTTCCCCAGTGGAGATCACTATCCATCTAACCACTTGGGTTAACTGTCAGAGATGTGGCCAAAAACCACAATTAATCACCCTGTAGCCAATATGACGATGAACCCCTTCTAACTTAGTTAAGTTAATCCTCAAATGACAGATGGTCTTTGTCATATCCCATGGTCTGCTACTAATTTTACAATCCTTTTTATTTCCTTTGTCTTCTGCCTTAATAAATCTGATGGAGTTTTTTTATCCTTTCTTTTCATTTTTTTTTCTTTAAGATATTATTAAGATAAACCAGGGTAGTGAAGAAATGAAGCATAAAACGGATAAAATTTCTTCGGCATCAGAGCAAAAAGTTTCATTGTACTGGGGCTCAACATATTTGTTTTAGATCTAGGAGCTAGCTCCCTAATTTAAGAGCTACATGAATTTTTCAGGTTGCAAAATAAAAATAAACATTAAGTGGGTGAGAGAAGAAGGCATAGTAGGTTCTTAACTCACTGTTCAGCACCAATCAGCATCCTCAAAGTACTATTAAATAGAGGACCTCGGGAAAGATCCTCTCCTCCAAGGGGCTCTCGATTAGCCTTCTCTAATTTCCTGGCCACTCTTCCTTCTCCCCTCAAGCCAAGGGAGCCAAGTCAAAGCCTGAGCTGACCTGTGCCCCTCCTACAAGGCCAAGGCCAAGTGTTGCAGCGGACTTCCTTTAGTCCTGAAGATGATAAAACATGAACACGGAGGAGCAACCTGGAGGAGAGTGATCTGTTGAGAGTCTGTGGTAAACCTGTCCTGAAACCACCAGGCCCTCTGATGACATTCTCACGCAAATCCTGGTGCCTGGAATTCACCTAGTCTTCATCCAATACAACTCCTTCACTTTACACGTGACATCACCAAGGCCAAGGGAGGTTAAGGATGTTTGTCAGAAACACAAAGATAGTGAATGGCTGAGCTGGGACCTAATGTACCATGTTCTCCTGCTATACCGGGCTGCAACTATCCTCTCACTGGAATGTGGGCACAAAGCAATGAGTGGGACGAGTATGATGGTAGTGATTATAAACAGTGTGCCAGAACCAGCTCACCCTGGCTGGCAAGAGCCTCTGTTAAATTTTCAATTAGAGCATTTACATTTCAGAAACTGGCAAATACTACAAATCAGGGAATGTTAATAATGCAGATTGAACTTAAAGTTTGTTGTGCATACAACATCCCCATCCCCCCCACCCCCACCCTAGGGAGACAGTTGTTAAAATATATACCAGCCCAATCCTGGTTATAAACCACAAAACATTCCACACCTCCTGTCTCCCCAGGGAAACCTTTCACACCAACAACCTCACCAAGTTCCAGATCACAAAGTCCACTCTACACACTAGCTTGCAGCACTGCTAAGACCCTGTTTTTTGTCTTTCTACGCACTGACATGCACACTAGCATGCTTTTAGCTCTACTGTGGCAGCTCACAAGCCCAAAAGCAGGATGCATGATACAACTGACATTCCAAGAGCTCAGCTACAGTGCTATTTGGATAGGTAGGCCCTGGGGTCTGCCTTGGCTCACCAAACAGTAAGAGCATGCACAAATTCACATTGCACCCTTTCTGCTTAGGGACGTAGAGCTTCCCCAACCATCTGGAGAAATATGTAGACGTAAAAAACAAAACAAAACAAAAACAACAAAACCATGCCTCTTTACCTTGAATGGGATAAGAGTAATGTGCTGGGCTTGGCTGGCCTGTGGTTAGCCCTGTAGTGCAGGTAAGAACACTGTGTTGACTTGGAGCTGGAGTCTGAATTAAACCACTTTCAGGTTTCATACCTGGCCACAATGCACCTGGATCAGATAAATTGGACCAATTACAAATAAGATACCAGGACCAAAGGCAGGTTTGTTGCCTGAAAACGTCAGCCAGTTGGTCTATGTCATAGAACAGAATTAAAGCTGCTTGTTAAGAGAAAATTGTTTTGATCCTCCTAAAGTTAATTATATTCAACTAACAAATACAGGTACACAGTATCAGAATTCCGCAACAAAGAACACAGACAAGATATTATCTTGCTGAAGCCAACAGCCTTAAAGCTACATAGGCTCATTTCAACTCTCTGGGGAAATTCACTAGTGTTCAAAGAGGAAGTGAAGGCCAAGATGGCACCTAGTTCCATGGTCCAGAGAGGCTGTTAGGCCCTAATTATTTTGGACTTCATTGTGCAGAATGTTTCAATCTCAGTTACCAAGGATACCTCATTTACTGGTCACTGCCCAAGGGGATCCACATAAGTGTCAAGTTTCTATTAAAATCACTTACCCCTTTGAGCAAATTTAACAACCTATCTTTTACCCTCGGGTGTGGAGATCATTCTAAAATATATCATATACATCCCTGTGCCTTCTGAAAAAGTACCTTGAACAGAATTAAGCCCCTTCCAGCATACCCAGCACAAACAATGACTGCCCTGTAATAAAGCAATAGTCTCAGGGGTTGCTACATGTGTAGATATGCCTGCCCTTCCACTCCACAGCTCCAGTCTTGTGCGTTTTACATTTGTGTATCTGCTCCTTTCATCTTTTCACTTGCAACAGCTATTACTTCTTAATGTGGCCAGCAGCCCCACTCCCCAGCGTAATCCTCCGAAGCCTCAATAAGACATGCAGGTAACCCTGGAGTCTCAAAGACTGGGTCAGCGGAGCATAAGCTCCTACCAAGCTGGAAAGGCTTTGAGTACTGGGGTAGCAATGACTGTATCTTTGTGGCCTCAGGAATGGCTCAACCCAGAGAGTTTCCAAAGGGTTCTCACCCCAAAGAGGGTTATCAGTTATGGTCACAGAAACCCATGGAAGATCACCTCCCAAGGCCTGGAGGCACTATGCTTTGGGTCAAACTGGGGAATGCTAACAGATAAAACCACAGATCATTTGAAATACTGTAGTAATCAGTGGTCTAAGAAACCAGATCAAGAACTGTTTCTTTCAAAAAGGGTAAAAGAGCTGTTAGGGGTCATCACTGGTTCTCCAATTAGCTGCTGGGCATGGACTTTGCAACTACTCTTTCTAGTGCTCACAGGTCTGGATGCTTCTTTCCTAAAATAAATTTTTTTGGATGGTTGAGTTTGCCTGAAAAGTCATTAGTATTCCAAGATGTAGTTCAGAGCAGGTTTGTGAATAAAAACATGTAATCAATGTCAAGGCCATACTAGTGAGGCAGCAAGATGGCACAGTGGATAGAGCACTGAGACTCTTAGACACTTACTAGCTGTGTTTTACTAGCTGGGCAAGTCACTTAACTGCTGTCTGCCTCAGTTTACCCATGTGTAAAATGGGATTAATAACAGCACTCATCTCAAGGGGCTGTTGTGAGAATCAAATGAGATACTTGCAAAGTACTTAAAACCGTGCCTGGCACATAGCAGGCACAATGCTTATTCTCTTCTCTTCCCTTAAACTTCAGCATTAATTTAGTCTACATACCCCTAAACCAAACAGGATTTACTAACAATGGAATAAACTTAATTCTCTGAGTCAGAAGGTTTTACTTAACCTTGGCATCCATTCAGTTGGCCAGACACCTCACTGCTACTTTGGAAAGCTTGTTGTCAGATTTGTTTGATACAACTTTAAGAAGTAAATGAAGCCATGGAATTTCAATGAGGAAAACAATGAAGGCTCAGTAACTGTTGTGTCCAAGTCATGAAGACACCAGCAAGTGATGTCAAATTCTATTCTTCTCTGATGATTCTCTGAGTTGATTTATTTGGGAAGGTTAAGGAAAAGCACCCCAAGGTGGATTAGAAGAGCTTCCCTATAACAACGCAAAGCAATGCTTTTTCTGAAGTATTTCTGGGATACTACAAATCCTCTCTCTGGCCCCACTGTACCCTTTGGTTATTATGACATTCCATTACTTTTTTTTTTTTTTGGTGAAGCCATCGGGGTTAAGTGACTTGCCCAGGGTCACACAGTTAGTAAGTGTCATGTGTCTGAAACCAGATTTGAACTCAGGTCGTCCTGACTTCAAGGCTGGTGCTCTATCCACTGCGTCACCCAACTGCCCCCCATTGCTTCTTATACTTGTCATATTGCTTTCTTTTAATAAGGCTCAACTTCTCAGCAATATTTGTAAGAAGATATTCATATAAAGATCAGAGAATGTTAGAACTTCAAAATCATCTAGAACAATATCCTCATTTTACAGATGAGGAAACCAAGGCTAGAGATGGGACAGTGACTTACATAGTGAAGGGGCCAGAATTGGAATCCAGGTTCTAATTCATGGTCCCATGCACCATGCACTAACACCATGCTGTCCCCAGCAACTTTCTTCTAACTGTCTAAAACTTTATTTTGTACATTCCTTACTAACATGCTAAAAAATTGGGAAATAACCCAGGTAGCCTCAAATCAACGTCTGCAAGCTCCTTGGAAAACCAAAGCTTGTTATAGGTAGCCAATGGGCTCTTAGGCAGCAGCGGTCCTTCCTAACCACCATCTCCCCCCCACCTCCAAACCAGGAAAACACACAAAATGTAATTAACATCACTGAAATAGATCCTTAGTGAAGATTAGTTTAGTTAATAGCTGAAGAGTACTTCAATGCTAAAAAACATGGGGCAAGTGACTTCACTTTGTCTCTGTTGACCCAGAAGATCTTGGAGTGAGCTATTATTTGATTAACAATTAAATTACTTTAAGAAAAAGTAAAATGATGGTAGGCAACTAGTAAGGTCATGAAAAAATATCAAGCCCCCTTTCTTCACAAATCCCTCACATGAAACTGAAAAGTACTGTCCCTTATCTTCTGCTCCCACATATCAGAGGAGACGACATCCTCTCATCTCCTTCAAAAGAGATCACCTAATTACCACTTCTATCTATGAGAGAAGCTTCTCCATTTTAGACCCACCACTGAAAACAGATGACTACTCTTCGTAGTGGTCAATAATAGGGGCATTTCCAAGTACCTCTGACCATTATCCATGTTTCAGACAAGCAGAGTATTTTTTACAGTCCTGTGAATGTCTAGCAAAGAGAGACTGAATTGAGACCAATTTGAAAATGAATCAAAAATAAGTTAGGTATTACTTAGAAGTGTACACATTTTTAAGAACAGGCAAAGGGGGTATCTTTAAAATTACATAAATATCCCCACACAAATTCTCCTATAAATACTACTACAAAAGTCCCACAACAATAAGAAAAGCAGCAGAGACAGAGCACATTTACATAATAATCAAGCTGCAGTTTATACTTGTGAAGACCATTGTGATTTACAAAGGTCTTCCCTTGCAATAGCTCTGTCTGATAGGCAGAAGTTTTACTATCATCCATTTACAGATGAGAAAAGAGAGGCTCAGCAAGATTGGGCCACTTGCTCATCCACGGTCACACAACTGGGAAATCACAGAATCTCAGGAAGGGAGCTCAGAAACCATGGAATCTAAGCAGGACTTGAACAAGAACTGGATCTACAACCTAACTGAAAAGTGGTCATCAGCCACCGCATGAAAATGTCCTGTAAGGGGCCCCCACTGCCTCCAGAAGTAGCCCTTTCCACCATGGTGCAGCTGTGACCGTCAGGGAGTTTTCCTTCCCAAGAAATCTAAGTTTCCTATATTATCACTTGCCCCATTGCCGAGTTTGGAGACAAGTCTGCGCCCCCTTCCACAGAACAGTGCACGAGACACTTGACAGTGGCCATCATGTTCCTTCTAAGTCTTCTCTTATACAGTATGGTCCCAGTTCCCAAACATTACGTTCCCATCAAGAATCTACCCCGAACCTAAACTCAGTCAGTCACCCATTACTTAAAGTCAAACCAGATGAATAATGATAGGATGATATTAGATAGTCCCTAGGCTAGTTTTAGGAAACGTATTATGAAATATCAGTCTTCCTCACTGTTGAAAAGTTCCCCCTCCCCCCATTCAATCTGACCAAAATTAAGGGAGTTCTGATGGTTTCCTTGACAATACAAACAGAGGTTCTCTCTACTTTTTAATTTTCATAAATATAATGAGTGGATCATAAAAAAAAATATTTTAAGAGATGTTATCAATGTGGTTTTAATGCTTTCTTAAATGCTCAACACAAACACAGGCTTCTGGCAAAAACATTAAAAATGATACTCAGAGCTCTACTTCACAAAATTTCCTAATTTTAAAAATAAAGCAAAATTAACGAATCTCTATTAATGTTAATATATTCATATTTAGGTGTCTATATGGTACCATATTGAGAGTGAAGAGTAACAGCTGGCAGCATGAGTGCTTCCCTGGTAACCCAGGGAATGTTGGAAGGCCTCCCGGTACACTGGACAAAGGTTCTATGGAGAGTTAATGGGAGAACATGGACTAGAAAGACACAAGATGAGAAGGTCTGGATGGGCTGGGACTTACATAGTTGCAGGGTCAGGTGGTTAAGTACATGACAAAACATCTGATTCAGGGAATGGGCTGACAACTTGATAGGCTTGGATAACAGACAGTGTAAGCAGGGAATGAGAGGGATTGAAAAAAAAGAAAAACTCTCGAACTCCTTCACCGACCTAGGAAACAATGCCACAATCACTAGGTATATCTCTCACTTTGTTGCTCCTTCAGTCGGCTGCAATGAAGGTGTAACATTGAGTCTGAGGCTGAAAAAAACTGTGCTTTCTACTACTGCCACACAAAAGCCAGTGGCCCTTAAAAAAAAAAATCCAAAGAGTGGAAGCCAAAGGCAGCCACCATTAGTGTAGATTCTTGATGTCTGGTGAATACTAGACAGTCGGCAAAATACAGTTTATCATATTGATTGTTGGCAGGTGGAAATCTTATTTAGCACACTCCAGAAACCTCATTAAAAAAAAAAAAAAAAGAATCAGGGCAGCTTGATGGCACAGTGGATAGAGCACCAGTCCTGCATTCAGAAGGATCTGAGTTCAAATCCAGCCTCAGACACATAACACTTACTAGCTGTGTGACCCTGGGGCAAGTCACTTAACCCCATTGCCTAGCCAAAAAGAAAAAAAGAACCTAGATATAACCTGAGTTGCTATTAACCTTTGGTAAAAGATGGCTTCATTGCTTAAATACAGAATAAATCCACACAAATGTTACTGGCATTATTACCGTTACAGAAAGTTTTTGGCTTTTTTCCCCATTAAGAACACCTTTTGACTTAAGCAGAATAAACATTTGATAAGAGTCAGAAGCAAAGCAGGAAAATGATGTCAAATATAGTACAATATTCACAGAGGGGGCAAGGACTTCAACCTAGTTCCAACAGCAAAGAGTTGATTACTTACCTCCTCACAGAGTATTTATTAAGTCCTCATTGTGGGTGGTGCTATATTCTGTACAAAATAACTTCAAAAGACACATCTAATCCCTCAAGGATCTTACCTAATACTAAGGGATTTTAGCCTGCCTATCTTCCACAGATCTAAAAAATCACAAGTTTTGGCTGATGACTTAGAAATGAGCTTTACAAGGCTCTCAAACAGGATTTCTGAGGTACAGTTTTAAGTCTCGTGCATCACACACACTGCTGATTACTGGGCATCCAGCATGCATGCAGATAAAACAGAGTAGCTGCTCAGCAAAGAACTGACAATGTTCTTCTGACGTTAGCCAAGCCTGATGTTTTAGGAGGGAAGTTTGTAGGATCATCATCAATATTCCCAGGGATCACTTAAATAATATGCCTTACCAAAAGGAGGTAGTCCATAGGTTTGGGTTGCCTGAGGATAGACAGCATAGGGTTGGGACTGCTGAAGTGTCTGGTACTGTGTCTGGCCAGAGTAAGCAGTCTCTGATACAGGGACCGAGAGGATGTGTGCATAAGGTCTAGAAAAATTAAAAACAAAAAAAAGTTGATTACATCAACATTTCAATTCTATATATTTCAAAAAACATTTAAAGAGTATCTACTATGTGTTAAACATTGTATGGGATACAAAGTGCAGATATAGCCCCTAACCCAAAATAGTTTATAATAAGTATGGGAGACAAGACATAGAAACAACTCTGTTACAGGTAGAATGCCATGGTTGCCACAAGTGAGGTACAAATAATGTACTATGTGGGCAGAGAAAATGTATAGATGGCACCTAAATTTGGGGGGAGTCAAGTGGGTAGAGATTATGGATGGCTTAATGGAAGTGATTGCAATTGACCTGGGTCTTGAAAGATGGGTAGAATTTCCCCAAGGAGAAACTAGAAGGGAAGGAGACAAAAGAGTAAGCCAAAGAAAAGCAATACAGTTCTGTAATAGCAGAGAGTGCATGAAAGGAGTTGGTAGATCAATGAACCCCATGCTAAGGAGTGTGGGCTTAAATTGATTGGCAAGAGGAAGCCATGAAGAAACTTAAACATGAAATCACCACAATGATAGTTTTGTTTAGGATGACTGATTTGGCTGTACATAAGGGAAAGATTAGAGGAAGGAAAGGCAAGGGAGTCAGTTATAGGGCTAATGAAATAGTCCAAATGAGAAGTAATGATAATCTAAACTAGAGTAGAAGTAGAAATAAGAAAGGAAAGGAGAGAAAGGAAGAGAACCATTTAGAAGGCAGAATTCATGAAATTTGGTGATATGGGTGTGGAAGGTGCAGAAGTGGACGTGTTAGCAGGGACAAATTCAAGGTTGTGAACCTCAGTGACTGCAAAGTTAATGATATCATCACCACAGACAGGAAGAGGGGAAAGTTGGTGGAGATGAGTTCCATTTTGGATATGTTGAGTTTAAGGTATCAGTAGGACATGCATGTCAAGCTATTCAACAAACAGTTAAGAATGAAAGTCTGAAGCTCAGAGGAAAGGTCAGGGTTAAAGACATAGCAATGTCTTAGAATGTCTTTAGAAGTGAATGTCTTTAGCAATGTCTTTAGAAGTGAATGACTCTGTAGGTACTGATAAGATCACCAAGGGAGAGAATGGTGAGGGAGAAGAAAGTCAAAGGTGAAGTCTTGAGAAACTCTTTGGCAGCAGGAAAAGGATTTAATATAAGAGGATATGAGAAATACACAAATAAAGAGTTAATATCAGTAATAATAAATAACCCCAGAGGGTTTTCTCTATTGCAAAAATATTCACGACCTCTGGCCAAGGTTCCCAAGCAGTAATGTCACAAAATATATACCCTTTCCCTTTTCATATTCTTATTGTTAGATGCCTAAAGAACAAGGGCGTCATGGAAACTAATACCTTCAATTGAGTTCTCAGATAGAAGAGCAACTCTAAATAAAAACACTGCTACCTCTTCAAAAGTTGGAAGTAAATAGTTGGCCTCTTAATGACTGAGAAGACTATAAGCATACTTCCACATTCCAGTTGAGAGAATAATTACAATCCAGAACAAAGGTTCTCAAACTGTGATCCAGGGAACCCTATAGGTCCCCAAGATCTTTTCTGCAAGGTCAAAACTATTTTCATAATAAAACTGGCCATTTAAATATCTAATGTGGTAATAATGGATCTAATCCACATAAACAAAACTGTTGAGGGCGAGGGGAAAGGGTTTCCTCTCAACAATTTTTAAGAGTTTAAAAGGGTCCTGAGACCAAAAAGCTTGAGAACCACTATTCTAGATTGAATTGTAAAGAAGCAGCAATATATACTCATCTGTCTGGTCTTTTCTAGGAACAGAAAAAAAAGAGAGAGCTAGATAACAAATACAGTCAATTCTCAATAGTCCACAGAACACCTTTTTCTTCTCTTTTGAGTACCTGGGTATTTCTTGGGCCATTAGAATGTCTATCAATAGGGCCAATCAGAGACGGAAAAGAAATATAATTCAAATTTATCTGCTTTAAAAATTACTTTCTGAAAACTTAATATTCACACTAAATAATGATGGTTTGTTTTGGTTCTGATAAGAAATTTTCTTACTCTTGGTGTCATTCCTGACTTAGTATTTTTAATGTATCGAAAAGAATCCAGTCTAATGCTGGTGTGTTTGGAGATAAAGTGAACATCACTACCCACATACTGTTATCTGATCCCCCCCCCCACTCCCACAGTTCAGGCCCCCAGCTCCTCTTCCTGGTCTCCCTGCATCATTTCTCCCTAGTTCAGACCATCCATCTGCTGCCAACATTCTTTTCCTTAAGCACAGATCTGGCCACATGACTCCTCTACTCAATAAACACCAATGGCTACCTATTACACCTCTGAGATAAAACAGAAACGCCTCTGTTTAGCTTTTTAAAGCCCTTCACAAAAAATTTTTGCAACAAGTATCTCTGTTAAAGGCCTCATTTCTCAAATATACAGAGAATTGAGTCAAATTTATAAAAATACAAGTCATTTCCCAATTGATAAATGGTCAAAGGATATGAACAGGCAGTTTTTAGACAGAGGAGTCAAAGCTATCTAAACTCATGTGGAAAAAATGCTCTAAATCACTACTGATCAGAGAACTAAAAATTAAAACAACTCTGGGGTATCACCTCACACCTATCAGAATGGCTAATATGCAAAAAAGGAAAATGTTGGATGTTGGAGGGTATGTGCGAAAACTGGGACACTAATGCATTATTGGTGGAGTTGTGAACTGATCCAACCCTTCTGGAAAGCAATTTGGAACTATGCCTAAAGGGCTATAAAACTGTGCATACCCTTTGATCCAGCAATATTTAGCAGTAGCTAGGTCTATATCCCAAAGACATCCC